ATCAGCCAATCACATGCAATATTACACTGGTGTGATGGTACTGTTCATGCAGTGCACCACGTGTTCTGTCTGTGTTGATCTGTGTTAGACAAAAAAGAATATCATGAGTGGTACATCCCAAATTTATCAATAGTGTTTATCTAGATCTACGTTTCTCAGTCGTTTTTGCTAGTCTCTGAATAGACTGATAACCTTGTATTAATAGTGTATCTGGCATTTCTTAGTTTAGCATACTGACTTTTCAATCTGCAAATCTGTTTCTTTGCCAGGTACAGAGGACTTTACATTCCATTCATTATTTAGAAATTGATGACACATCGTTGTGACATAGTTTTTATTTCTGAGAGCTTTACTGTAACCAGTGTTCAGACCTAGCTTGTTTGCAATTACTAGCTTGACTTCAGTGTCATCCTTCTTTTCCTGAAAGTTTTTTTCAATACTTTCTGTCATAGTGCTAGGACTACTTAACTTAAGAGTAGCATCACACAATTTAGATTTTACTTTTGTTGCCTATCTGAACGAAATGATCCATCACCTAGTTTATTAAGCAAGCTTCATTTTTTGCATCAGACTTCTAGCTAGTGAATTTGTTAGCAGTAGACTTTGAATGCAAATTAACCAATAGAGCGACATATGTAACTGGTCGGAAACATTCTCAGTCTTTAACCAATTTAACGGTTAACCGTCCACACCAGGGTTCAACTGCTTTGACATCTTTCACATCAGCCCAAACAGGCCAACAGATTAGGTGTGGGAGCACTCTAACCACCACATGCTGCCAGTTTCAGTGTGTATTGTTCAAGTTTGGCTCCATAACTGATTTCTGTTGGCTGGTTCAGTCCAGATTTGGCCCAGAGCCTGCCTGAGAGGCTCTTACTTTTATTTCCAGGAGGATTTAAAGAATTGCCTGACAGCAGCATCCCAGCTCAATTAACCTTCAGATGCCTTCAAATTCAACTCAACAAAAGCAGTTTGAAAGGGGGAAAAAATGATCAAAGCCAACAGGGGAGTCTGAAGACGCTGTGCTGAGTTGTTTAAAGCGATCACATCTGTCCACTTCTTCTTGTCAAATAATTGATTTTAAAATATTACTGTTGGTTTATAAAGCACTGAATGGTTCATTTCTCATCTGCAGCTCCATTATGAAGCGTCCAGACCTCACAGTTGGTCTGGGTTCAGGTCTGCGGTCAGAGTCCTGGAGAAGCGACTTTCAGTTTTTATTTAACATTGTACTGTAACTTTTCCTTTTACTTTTATTTCATTTAAGCTTCTTTTTATATTCTATCAATCTTCTTAAGTCCTGGTTATGTGTCTTTTTTATTGCCTTGTGTTCCTTTTATATCTTGCTCTAATCTTTTATGTCCTATAAAAAGCATAGTAAATTGTCTTTTTGTGGACAACAATCTGAAAACCAACAAAAACAACTCTTCTTTAAAGGCCATTTTCTCAAAATGACTTTTTTTTCAAACTCTGAGCCAGAACTTTTCCCTTCAGTAGCACTTACATACACTAAAGCTTCCAGTTCTATTCATATATATATATATAGTCTGAAGGGTTTTACAGAGGGGTTTATTCGTATATCATTCATAGCCTGATTAATATCAGATTATATTACTAAAAACATAGTTAAAAATGATATATTTATATACATGTGGTTGTGTTTGTGAATAAAAAAGAGATATAAGCATTTCACTCTAACATGTCGAAATGTGTGCAAAATAGCACATTTTTAACCATATAATGCATGTTTTGCATATTTAAACATACAATTTCAGAAAAATTAATAAAATAAAAAAAGAAATTGTCTTAATGTCAGTAATCAGCTGGAGAAGTTTCGTGGTGAAATCTGTTAGTTAAAACTTTTACCCTATTGACCTTCCTATGAAGGATATAACCCTATTATATCACATATTTTAATGCTTATAATTAAAACTGAAACCAACATGTAAAATGAAAAACAAATACAATCAACTATGACCTCCTTTTGACATCTTGTTTGAATTCTTCTAATCTTACTCTCATATTATAAAAGTCAAACTAACCAGATCAAACGAGACAATTAAATTCCATTAAAAAGAAAATAACGAGGGCTGTGTTTGACTCCTTGACTTCAGCACCGCTGTGTCTGTCAGCCAATTTATTTCCTGCTAATCCGTTAATCTCCTCTTACTCTCCCCACTCCACTTCTCAAACTTTATTATTTTTTATTTATTAATCTGACTCTCTGATTGGCAGCTGTTCACGCTGAGTGTGTCTCATTTCATCCACAGTAACGGCAACAAAGGACAGATGTGTGACGCTTCACTGTGGGGAAAAAGTGAAGAGAAGAAGGAGATTTATGTGCAAACTGAAGGGGAAGCATCAGCATCTGATGATGATGATGATGATGATGATGATGATATTATCTTAAAGGAACAGTCTGACATTCTGAGAAGGTTTGTTGTGTTCTCTTACAGACAGAAATTTTCAGATGGAACTAGATGCCACCAGGGAATAACGGACAGAGCTTATAGGTCTGTGAAGTGAAGCTAACGTAATGATCAGCAGGGGGAGCTCTATTGGCTGCAATAAATCACCAATAGTATTACAGTTTTTCTCAATTGCTAAAACACAATTTCTGAAACCTTGCTCCATTTTCTGAAAACATTAAACACAAAACTTCAGCTTGAAGCACTATTTACAAAACCTCTGACTCCTCGTGCAAAATGAAACTTTCGCCTCAAAACAGATTTACCTGTGCTCAAAACCAAACACTGCTCTCAAATCATAAACAAAGTGATCAAAATGATATACACTATCAAGCAGTCAGTAAACAATACACCAGAAAATAGAAAACACGTTGTTCAAAACATATAGTTCTCAGGGAGAAGTACATTTTTAATCTCAAAACAGAATTCATATTTTTCCGTCATTGTCTTTTGATGAATGAAAACATGTTCTATCATAGTAGCTCAAAATTGATCAGAAATTATACTCTGCTTTGCAATTTATGATATGAACCTGCAACCAGTCAACATCTATTGAGCAGTCAGTACTGTAAACAAATGGAAAGCACAATGTTCAGGGCCAGACAATGTGTTTATTGTACAGTATACAGCCTACAATGCACTGTACTACAGTATACACTACAAAAATCAAAGGAGTAAACATGTGATCAATGTGCTTCTTCTTGTCTTTGGGCTGGGTCAGGCCAGAGCACTTCGTCGACATCACAAGCAATATTTTCCCTCTTGAGGCAACGGGGGAAGTAGCCTCTTGTGTGCCGTATCCAGTCCTGACCTCACCTATATCACCACAGGCTAAATCCATGGCTTGCAGCAGATTTACTCTGGTTTAGGGTTGTCTATCATATACTTTCCATCTCCAAGAGGAGAAAAACTCCTCAATCGGATTCAGGAAAGGAGAGTATGGAGGGAGGTACAAGTTCATAAACTGCCCGTTGTTGTTAAACCATTCCCTTACCTGAGCAGCTCGGTGGAAAGTGACATTGTCCCACACTATCACATAGGTGTGGGAATCAGGTGCTGGGTGTTATATGTCCCGAGTGTAACATGGTGATGTGGAACTCCATGGTTGCTGATAGCAGCACAGATTGTGACATTGCCACTCGTTGACCAGGGACGTCAACAATGGCCCGCTGTCCAATCATGTTTCGGCCTCTCCTTCTCCTCTTTGTCAGATTGAAGCCTTTGTAAGTCTTACAGAGACAGTGCTATACTGTAGAGTACAATTAGGCCTACTGTATGCACTTCTGATTCACATACATTGTATGTACTGAAGAGTAATGTCATTCACATGGTATGTGACTGTAGACAATCTGGATTACAGTAAATGTGTCTGAATGTACACTTACTTGCACATACTGAGCTTGCAGTTCTTTCACCCTTGGTGAGTTGCACTCAAAAGGTACTCTGTATACTTGTTTCATTCGCATCCTGTTACGCTGGAGGACATGGTCAATTGTGGAAATGCTCACACTGTCGATTCCCAGGAAGTGTGTGTTGTCTTGTATCACTTGTTCCTGGATTTCTCTGAGTCGTATTAGATTATTTTGAAGGACCGTGCCAACTATAACGGCCTCTTGCTCCCGAGTGAATATAGCTGTCCTTCCACCTGCATGTGGCAGCCTTGCAATTCTGCAAAAAGTAGATGTGCAGTTACAGAAAATATTCATGCAGTACAATACATATAGTGATGAACTTTACAAATGTCTATTGAAACAGCTGCATATAGTGTAGTACAGTAAATTTGCAATTACAAAAATACAGTAGTATACTGTACCTGTTCTTTTCTCTGAATGTCCTTACTTTGGTGGACACAGAAAATCGGCTGAAATTGGGTTGCACTCTAAGTCCTGCTTCCCTCATTGTCAGTCCATGGACAAGAACATGGTCAATGACTGTTGCTCAAATTTCATCAGATATTTCCACTCTTTGTCTTCCTCTTCGTCCTCCTCTTCCTCTTTCTTGCCCTCCTCCTCTTCCTCCTCGTCGTCCACCTCGCATACTCACTTGTCCTCGTCCTCGTCCTCTCACATAGTTTCTTCCATCCACTCTTAGACTTTCTCCGTCCCACCTTCAACAACCTGTTTGCTCTCTGAACTGGCTTATATTGGTTGTGTCACATGATTTGAAACAAGTGAAATCAATTTTGAGTGGTTGTGTTTAATCAATGACGTGTTCTCTATTTGTATTTGATGGTTGCCACTTGTGTTTACCAGTATGGATGACGTGCATTAGAGTGCAGAATGTGTTTAGAGTTCTGCTGAAAAGTCTAAGTGAGATCTGCAAATTGTGTTTTACTATGTGAAATGGTTTAAGGTATTGACAACAGACTGCACAATTAACTAAATGAGTTCAGGCAACTGCGAACTTTGTTCAGCCAATGGGTTTTAGTGTTTTAGCAATTGAGAAAAACTGTAAGACTTATGGAGATATTAGCTGACTTCTGACTGATTTATGAGCTCAGTAAACAGTTTCCTTTCTGGTCTCAGTCTCTAGTTTCAGTCTTCTTCCATACAGCATGATGTTCATTTAGTAACTGATGGTCCCATTTAGAGTAAAACAGACCATAAAGCAGGGTATGCTTTAGGGCGGGGCTACCTTGTGATTGACAGCTCATTCTCAGTGAGTCCGTCCAGCTCAACCAAACTCAGATCAAACTGTCAAACAGTGCTGATCAGATATGGATCCAGATTCTGTTGTTGACTGTTTCTCTCCTCAGATCTGTTCACAAACACATTTTACTGTTTATCTGGAACACCAGATCCTGTGTGAGCAGGACAGCAGCCATTGTTTCCTGATACAGACGAGTCAAAACTGCGCAGCCAATGAGAGCAGCTCAACTCGCAGTACGTCACAGGACACAATCATGCAGGAATCCATCTTTCAATCAATGGGCTTGTGTCCAACGCTATCGTGACGTCACCCATTGGTTTGTGGAGTAACGTTAGCTAGTGCTGCACACTGTTGAACCTGCAGGAAGCGGAGAGAGAAGGCACTCTGGAGCATAAACGTCACATCCTTTGACCTTCATCCCTACATAGAAAGGAGTTAAAGAGACTTGAACACTTGCTGTGTATCTGACTGTATTTATAATTCATGGACACTTTGTTGAAATTGAAAACAGCAGCGGGTGAGGGGGTGAGGGGGGGATTTAAGTAGTTGTCACCTGATGTGTTTGAGGTACAAGCAGTTTTTGGCTCCTGTTACAAAAGAATCAGACAAGTGGTCGTACCGGTCCTTTCCTTTAATTATTAACTCACTCAACAGGCTTGCTACTTGATACAAAGATCCATCGGACTGACAGACAACACACAGAAGGAAAAAATGACATTTAGTTTTCATGCAGCACTTTTTTTCTTTTGTCTCCGTTAATTTAATGTAAAGTCACATTTAATAAATAGGTGCTGTGGGGATATTAATGATCAAGAATTTTACAGTTGCTGGTCTCTTTTTTTATACAACTCTCTACTCTGCTATAGCTCAGACACAAATATTGTTTGTCCACTACATTTGTCTTTTCAGATTACACTTCTGTTCTACTGTTTGTGATAAACTGAAGGATGCAGTTCGACTTCTTAAACTAAATAAACTATTTAAAAACCTTCTGGAATTAGCTGGAAAATGCATCGTCACAAAGCTGAAAACAGGATAATCCACGTGACAAACATATGATAATCTTATAAAATGAGTTTACACAGCAGTAAAATGCAACATTAATGCAGCAATAATATTAACCTAAAAACATCCGATATAATAGTAAAACACCTGTTGTTAAAGCGCCACCTGTGGCCGTTCAGTGAACATCACTGAACGCTGTAAAATAACTGACAATCATATTTAGAATAACGTTACTATCTGCAATGTTTCTATATTGTATTTGGACCGTTAGCTCCATGCTACTAACTAGCTCGCCGTTTACAAATCTCCCCATCAGCCAACACCACGAAGCAACCAACGCCAGACCCACAATGCAACGCCAAGACACAGCCAGCCGGACAACACCAGCTTATATAAAAAAACACATAAAATACAATAAATAAATAAATAAACATTATATGAAATAAAATAATCTTCTAAAGGAACTAATATTTCTTTCACCACTGGTCTGCAGCCTGTGTGGCACTAATGACCCCTCATACATCAGCTACACCGCACTACAGCAACCTGTCTCTCTCTCTCTCTCTCTCTCTCTCTCTCTCTCTCCCCCTCCCTCTCTCTCTGCCTCCCTCCCTCTCTCTCTCTGTCCCCCCCTTCTCTGTTTCTCTCTCTCTCTCTCTCTCTCTCTCTCTCTCTCTCCCTGTCTCTCTCCTTGTCTTCCCCCTCTCTCCCTCTCTCTCTCTCTCAGTGTGTTTTATTCTCTCTGCTCGGTGGTCGGTCGGTAGGATGCTCGCTGATCAGTTATCACAGTGTCAGTAATCGATCGTTATTTACCGGATCGATAACGTCGGAGCGGGATGAAGGTTCTCTGCAGCGGATCAATCTCGTACCTCCTGCTCCTCCTCTCCCTTCCAGGTGAGAACACTTTCACTCTTTTATTCACTAACTTCATTAAACTGAGAAATGATTGACAGCTGTCAGTGATGAAGAGGAAGCAGACTGAAGATTAAACGAATAATCATCAACAATCGTTCAGCCTTTAAAAAGCTTCAGAAGTGACTCATTTCTGTTCCGTTAGAAAAAGAAAACGGATCAATATCCATTATCAGGGTCGGATCAGTTCCACATTATTTTTAGTCAATTGAAAATGTTTTTTTTTTTCTACTATTGATTCCTTGAACTAATGAAAACATGGAGTGGATTGACTCTACTTTATATAAGTAGGTTGAAGTGGACACTGTATTGAACCTGTACTTAAAATATGAAATTAAATGACTGCAAACTGTTGCCATATTCATATTTGTAATTTTAGTTTTTACAGTATGGGATGTCCAGAAACATCTGCTGGTTTAATCACAAATCAATATCAATATTTACTTGGAACCCCGCCAAAATGAAGTTATTTGAACTAAATAAATATCAATATCAATAAATTGTTTTATTTTCAAATCTTCATACAGTTCCCCAAATACCTGTCTTTTTTTAATGAACTGAGTCACTGAGTCTAACAGCCAGAACAGATCATTAAATTGTGTTTATTTCCGTTTTTTTACACATTATTTCTACGTATAACGGAAAAGATTATATTATGATGTGTTTATTGTTTTATTTATTATTATTTATATGTGAAATTATAATAAATAAAACAATCCAACAAGATCAATAGTTTAATCTGTGTTTCTTCTAACAAATGAGTTTGTATGTTATTATTCTTTGATTGCTTGATTTATTTATTTATTGGTTTATAGAAAATGCTCACAAAACAGTGAAAATTACTGATTTAGTTTGATGAAGATATTAAAGGGATAGTTGTGGTATTTGTACCAGGTATTGATCCACAGTCAGTGTATTACCGACAGCAGTAACAGTGCGGAAGATAAACAGTGAACTGCTGACCAAACCAGCACTGTCAAATTTAACTTTATTTTAGATTAAATAAAAAAAAACATGTTAAAAATGGAAACTAACACATATAATTTAATGATCTGGACTGATAGGTTTAAGGTAAATTAAAAAAGAAAAAAACAATTTATTGATCTCTAATGCTACCTTTAGATATTTCTATTTTACACTTTACTAATGAGCCACAATCATTTTGTGTTCAAATATTTTCCAAGTAAATATTGATATTGATTATAACCACTTTATTCCAGCACTGGGTGTGTGTATGTATTCGTGTTGGTTTACAGTGTCTTATTCTACTGTCAGCGTAGCAAAAACAGAACCTAAAAATAATAATAATAATAATAATAATAATAATAATAACAATAATACGATATATGAAAAGTTCGTATCACACAGGAAATTAAAACCGGTGTAACTGGTTCATCCGGTATATCGTCCAGCTGTACTTTCACCCCAAAATTCCACTGTGCGCATCTTAATGACATTGCATCTGCGACACGGTTTGGCTCTGTGATCCGCTCCTCTTCAAACCCCACCGAGAGCGGTTCAGACGTTGTTTACTCACATGTTTTATCCTTGAAGACGTCACAAACCACGGTGGAGCCAGGATGCATTGTGGCCGTGCCTGGTGGACTTTGGCGTTAACTTGCCGTCACACAGGTCTTTCAGAGTGGCTTTGAAGAGCGTTGATGAATAAGACCACCGTCTGCTGGTGATACACCAAGTACAACCCAACTTCAAAAGAATAGAATATATCAGAATATAATTATTATCATGTCTCTCACATCTGTGTGTGTTTGTGTGCGTACCTACTGTATGTATGTTGTTACACTTTCACCAACAACGGCCCGGTGAGCCAACAAAGGACATTATGGAGGTGGCCCTTTTCTATCATGGAGTAAACTGACTTACTTACTATGTAAAGTTTCGTATTTATATTTAATGCATTACAATAAAAGTACAGAACAGCTGATAAACTGAACAACAAACCCAAACAGTGAACACAAGAACTGCAGGAGGTTTGTGTAAAACAATAATTTTGAGATTATTTCCTGTGAATATTAATCAGAGATGAGTTTTCCTGATATTTTTACACAATTCTGTCTGTATTATGTATTTATTTAGATTCTATTTTGACAGATTCATTGTTTTCTGAAATGTATTTGTAATATTATTACTAGGAATACCTTACTGCCCGACAATTCCTATTAATCACACATCATATTGCACATATCACAATATCTGTCAAAATAATCACAACATATATATATTTTTGTTACCATATTGTTCGGCCATAATCCTGCCACCTAAAAAGAGGCAGAAATAAATGAGTTATTCTTTATATATATAAATTACATAACATATATAGTGTCTAAACAGCATTATTAATCTTAAAACTAATTTTTGTTAAACTTTGCTGGAGTTCACTGAATGAATGTTTGTCTGACTGAATGTTGTGACATGTGAATCCATAACACTGTAATAGATGAACCACAAACAAATTGTAGATTTAACATTGAAAAACTGTCGGACATTATGGTAAACGACCGTAAACTCTAAATAGGTTAAATACAGTTTCTGTAACAGTCAAACTCTGTCATATCTTTTGGCAAAACCTTTACTTATATGATTGTTTGAAGGATTTTATATGGAATAAGATTGTTTTTTTATATTACAGACTGTAAATTGCTTTGGTGTTTTCATGTAGTAAAACTGTTTCTTTTGATGGTAAAAACTTAAAAATATTTTAATCATAAAGTCAACAGTACTAATATCCTTTTACCGTAAAAGTAGAAAAGTTTTACTGTATTTAATAAAGTTATGGCACCACAGCTGCCATATTTTAACCATTAAATAAAATGTTTTCTTACAGTGTGGTGAGATTTCTCCAGTAATATAACGTTTGGGGAAATGAAAAATCCAGACGAAATTGTGGTTTTTGAACCACTTGTGGATATTTCCGCCTCCCCTGAGGGTAAACCTGCGGAGAGGTTCAGGATCTTCACTGTGCAGATGTGTGTGTCAGTGTGTGCGGCTGAAGTGTGTTTGGATTATCTCTGCTGATGTCTGACCTCCGGGTATCACTCCTCCTCTGGGTGCACAGTGTGATTGACAGCTTTAATCCTCGGGGCCATCGACGCTTATCACTGCTTAGTTCTGCCTCCCCCCATTGTCCCAACATCACACACACACACACACACACACACACACACAGAGAGCTCTGGTCATATTGACTTAACATGCCATCATCTGTTTTCTGCACTTAGCCGTGATGCACACGATTCTGACCATCTGTGCACTTAGGATGTATGGACTTGCCTGTTACCGTGACGATGATGGATGGTGATGTTGATGGTGACGATGGAAGAGATGAAGATGATGATTATTATGATGATGCTGATCAAGATGATCGTAGTGCAGATGAAAATAAGGCTGCTAAATATCTGCTGCATTGTGTGTGTGTGTGTGTGTGTGTGTGTGTGTGTGTGTGTGTGTGTGTGTGTGTGTGTGTGTGCGTGTATGCGTGCCAGCTGGCGTGCTCTCAGAGCTGTTAGTGCTAACACTTTAACTCCTCGGGGAGTCGATGCTGTCTCACAAACTGCTGACTCATCTGCTCACCGGACCATGGAGACATCTGAACAATGAGCAGAGCCAATAAGAGGCGGAGCAGCAGGTCGGTGGTTTCAGGGTTGTGATGATCTCACTAAAGTCATTTTTAGCATATGAATCAATCAGTGGATCTATATTGGCTAAAATCAACCCGATCAAATGCTGATCCTTTCCTTAATGAACTCTACTCTTTTCTTTTGTTTTTCTCTGACAGTACAAAACATTCAGGTAGCAACTTCTCATTTTCGTCCCATTATCGTTATTCAACGCTAAAAATGACAAAAATCACGACAGCAGGTCATATCAACTGTTGCTCATTCAAATTAATTTGATGATTAACTAATTGGTTTGAGTGTCTTAACTCAACCAAAGATGGTTTGTGAGAGTGGACACTTTTTAAGACCATCGTACAACCAGAGTGGACTGCATAGCAATAGAAGTATTATTTACTGAGCAACATTTACATTTACGGTGGATATTTCTACTCCCAGAGAATGATTCATTATGATTTTAAATGTTCTGTCACCATCAGGACAAAATGCACAATAATACTCAAGAATTATCAAAACTATCAAAACACTTTTATTGGTAAATCCATCCATGAATTGTCAAAATTAGGTTCTCAAGGTTCTAGATGTCCTTTAGGTTCCAGTTGCCAGTAAGAAGCTTCCTCTATTCATTGAGGATGTTCTTGTGCCCAGAGGTTCTTCAGGCGTTTAGGAAGTTTCTGGGATCCTTTAGGTGGTTCCTCTAGCCATGGAGGAGGTTCTAGGTGTAAATTAAGTAGTTTTAGTGATCCTTTTGGTCATCCTGTAGCCTGTGAGGAGGTTGTCACTGACAACGTTCAAGGGGTCCTTCAGGTGGTTTTTGTAGTCATTGACGTGGTTCTAGTGGTCCTTTAGGAGGTCCTAGTTGCCAGTTAGAAGGTTCTTATGTTCACTGAAGACGTTCTTGTGGCCAGAGGTTATTCAGGTGGTTCTAGTAAGTGTCTAGGAAGTTCACATTGTCTCTGAGGATGTTCGATTCTTAAGGTGTTTTTTGTAGTCCTCGAGGAAGTTCATTTGGTCATTTTAGAGGTTCTAGTAGTGCTTAAAGAGGTTCAAAATTCCCCTAAGACCTTATTGTAGTCATTAAGGAGGTTGTCAGGGTCTGGTAGGTGGTTCTAGTGGATAATATGTATAACACCTATATTTTGAAAGGTCTAGGGGTCACTGACAAGGTTCTTGTGGCCACAGTGGAAGTTCTGGAGCTCCTTTAGGTGGTTACTGTTGGTTCAACTAGGGGCCCTTAAGGTGGTTCTAATGTGCCTTAAAGTAATTTGAGGGTTTCTTTAGTATGTTGAACAGCTATAGAAGATTTTGGAGGGACAGCGCTCTCCACCACCATCTTCAAACCAAATAAGGGAATAACTTTTGACAGAACCATGTTCATCCCTCCAGTAGAGATCCATATCTATGACACGGAACAATGAAGCCTTTCTCCACACCTTAAGACCCTTAATGTTGGGTTTTTACTTTACTTTTAATTTGTCACCAGTCCGTATATACAATGTCAAATTTAATGGAAATCTGGCCTGAAGTTGTTAGGATATCTTGCCCAGAATAAAGGTGTTTGACATGGAGACAGGCAGACTGTTGTCATTGCAGCCCCCAGACCGTCTGCTAGCTGAGCAATAACAACGGAAACATCATAAACGGATCCAGTTAAAACTGTACGTTGCTGTTTATTTGAACATGTTACATGAAAATTAGATTTAAAGACCTAATATGTAACATTTCTGGATTAAAAAGTCTGAAAACACATTATTTTATTGAGTTGTGGACAAAATTTTTCCAACAACGTTCAAACCCAGAGAAATCATCAAACTACATCACAAACAAACATTTTGTCCAAATTACTTTTCTGCAAATGTCATCAATAATTGTAGCTATCTGTGAGTTTCTCATTAGCCTTTGACTTTTAATGAATTATCTAAAAAAAAGCAACTATTTTTGCTTCCTCCTTCAATCTCATTGATTGAAATCAGACAATTTAGGCCTCAACAATTCGCCCAAAAAAGCCTGCAAAATCTGGGACTGTGACAGTGAATGTATCGACTGACAAGTATGTGATAAATCTCCTTCCTCTGTGCTCCATTGTTGTCCAAAAACTATTAAAAATGTGTTATTGAGCTACATTGTTCCCTTATTACCATGAACACATGCACTGTAGTTTGTTTATACAGCGTCCTGCTGCCCCAAATACTCACTCGAGCACCGAATGTGGATTCATCCACTGCCAAAAATGTACTTTTTCCTCCTGTTTGTTTGATAAAAACTACAGTGAGCAGCTGTTTTAGTATAAGTTTAAGTTACTGAACTTTATTAAATATGAAACTATATATTTGTGTTTTCAAAGATCTTCAGCAGGAACCAATGAGCTCAGAGCTGAGAGCTCACAGACAGGAAGTCAGACAGTATTCAGAGACGGACTAACATGTTGTTGGTTTTGTGTGTGATTTATTGACAATAGGAACATGTAGAATAATGCCATAATTATCTTTAAAAGACGTGTGTGCATGTTGATACATAAATCCATCACACAAGTCTGAATCAGCCTTAAAGCAGAGGAGAGTCGGACCACCTCTGTCTGTTTCTCATAATGAGATCCTGTTTTTCATGTCAGTCTGACAGGTTCAGAGCTTCATTTCCACATTTCCTTATTTGTACAAAGGATGTTAACACTCAAACCGTCCTTCCTCCTCTCTGTGTGTCCCTACAGTCATTTTGCAGTTCAGTATTACATTATTTTCTTGTTATCTGAGGGTCATTGAACTGACCTTGCTCTTGTGTGCTTCCTTTTTTGTGCAAGGCATGTGCTTAAACTTCTGTGTGTGTGTGTGTGTGTGTGTGTGTGTGTGATTAGGACTTGTTTTGCTCTTTAATGTCCTCTCTTGCAGTTATGAATCTCTCTGTCCTTGTTGTTGAGTGTTCGGAGCAGCAAACAGAAGTTGTGGATGCAGGTGGGATCACTGTTCACTCACAATCAAACATGGAGGAACAGAATACCTATGACACTATTTTAAAGCTAATTTACTTGCTATTTACTAGGAAACTAGATGGTAACAAAATAAAATAAAGTTATTAGAAAGGTACTGAAAAAAGTGGCTCGTAAATGTTATTACTTAGTAATTACATGGATCATAACTGGAACTCATCAATATTAAAAGAAGTATTTAACTTAACTATTAACTATTTCCATATACATACTGTGGTATTTCCTAGTAAGCAATATGTACCTACTTGGTAATAACTAAGAATTTACTAACATTTTTTACCAAGTATGTTTCTATGTACTATGTACATAGGTAATAATTGTCTATATGCCTATATGTGACCATCTAGTTTCTGAGTATATATGATGTAATTTTTTTTTATATACTTATGGGTAATTTAGGGGCCATTAAAGTAAAAGAAATACTTCTGTTAAAGTGCACTCTGGGTACAGTCAGTCCTCAGATGCACACAAACCTTTACTGTGACCTTCCAGGATGTTTCTTTGGCAGCTAAACTTCATTCCACAGCCATCTGAAGGAGACCGACTGCAGCTGATAGTGAAGTCTTTGTCCTTAACTGATTTTATAAACAATTTACATAACTGTGTTAGCGGTTCGAGGCGTTTCATTATTAACTTATATGGTTACGATGAGCATTTATGTGCTCTGACTTATAGGAAGTTTATCTGATGTGAACTTTGGAGATCATAAAATATAATTCTGCTCTTTATATCTCACATTATCATTCTTTATCCAGAGGTTTTGGTCTGTACTGATCTGACTTTTTATGGAATCTCACTAGCAGCGTTTGTCCTCACAGTTCTGACCGTTTTCCAAGTCCAAACACTCCTCAGCACTTAATGTGTGTTTGTGTTTTGACTGTCGGGGTGTTATTGGGGGTTGAAATTAGGATGGTGAAGGTGGTTTGTTTGTTTGTTTAGTTGCTGCTTTGTTTCTGTATTTTATTTGTCTTTTTCAAACCATCATAGTTTCATTAGTGTCACTGTTCATCAACACGTCTTCTGGCTGCATTGCAGTCAGTTATTTTTTTTAACTTTTACTGACGGTGTATTATATCTATATTTTAATTTATTCAGTGCCAGCTCTAGTCGCTAACCAAGCCCAGAATCAGCCTGTGTGGCAAAAGGAAACAATGCACTGATCCATATCCACACCTTGTCTTGACTACATCTAGAAAATGTATAATGGAAATTCAGATCACACACTTACTTTTTCTACTCCACACTGTCAAACAGGTGGACTTTGTATAGGTTTTTATTGGCATAGAAGAGACATTTTGACAAAAATAGTGGAAAGACCCACACTAGCATCCTTTCTGTCAACACAATCTTCATCATCATAAACTGTCTCAGGATTAAAAGGATTTATCGCCCTGCTGTTGTTCTGCAGACGTTCTCTGATTAATGTGTAAAACCTGAGGTGAATACCAGGTTAATTGAACTGGGAAATGTGGTTTCTGTGTGTGTGTGTGTGTGTTCAGAGTGCTTCTATGTGATAGACTGAGCTGTAGGATATACTGCTGAAAGTACAGGAGATGATGTATGAGACAGTTTAGGATTAAGAGTGAATCACTGCAGAGAAGAACGCAGTAGAGAAAAGGGCTCTACACGAGCTTCCAAAATAAAATGCAAGAATCAAGTTAACATTGGACATGAGTTACATCAAAGAATCAAGAGTCAAACTAGGGCAATAGATGATTAAATTGACTTGGAGAAAGATAAAATATTCTTAATAAAGCTAATCAAATGAGTAGATAAAGAAATAAGATTAAAACACAAGAAATCAATTATAAATAAAGATTTGAAACTTGAAAAATTAAACTAAAATTACTAGGTCTACTAAAGTCACTGTCACTAGATGTCGCACTAGAGCACCAGTGTCTCAAACTAAAACAATGGCCACTACTGCTGAACAGACTCCACTGACAAATCCAATAATTTTACCAGATAATCATAAAACACACTTTAAACTGTAAAAAAAACAACAGAAAAACTCACCAAAATGTCTTTGTTAGTATTTCCACAGTCAATGGCAAACCATGACTCCATTATATCTTTACATAGCAAATTGTTGCTGCTATATTAATGGTTTGACTCTCATATATTTATATATATATATATATATATATAGGTTTTTTTATCATTAATATTTTGTTGTGAATATAGAGGCTACGGATCAAATATATTAATTTATCTAATGTAACAGTCTCACCAGTCGTGATAAAAATGTCAACTTTGTTCTGAGGGTGGTGCTCGCAGGAAGGTCAGTGGGTGATTAAAATCGAACTGGTTATTCCCCGCTTGACATCTCTGCTCTGGACCAAAGTGTTGGTTTGACCACTGCCATCTTTATGTCTTGCTGCTTGGTTGTTAATTTAAATAACTACCTTGGGTTTAATAAAGATGTCTGTCGTTGTTTCTATTTCCCAGTTTATTTGGCTGCTCATGGTCGCTATGCTCAGAAGCTGATGACTGACTTGTTTACCAACTACACCAACGCTCTGCGGCCAGTGGAGGACACTGACCACATCATCAACGTCACACTGCAGATCACTCTCTCCCAGATCATCGATATGGTAATCCTGAATGCTGATCTGGATGTTCATGTTGAGTGTATTCATGCCCGGGTTGATGTGTTTTTGTCCTCTCACCAGGATGAGCGGAACCAGATCCTGACTACCTACCTATGGGTGCGGCAAGTATGGATGGACTACTACCTCAGCTGGAAGAAGGAGGACTATGACGGCCTTGACACCATCCGCATACCCAGCAGCTACGTATGGAGACCTGATATTGTCCTGTATAACAGGTAGGTGTGGCCCCCTGCTGTCGAATCCCATCTCCCCATCTCCAATCCCCTGTTCCCTCCCCCTGCCTTCACACAACTACCTCGACTTTCTCAACCACAGTGCAGATGATGAGTTCTCCAGCTCAATGGAGACCAACGTGGTTCTTCGTAACGATGGTCAGGTCATGTGGGACCAGCCAGCCATCACCAAAAGCTCCTGCTCCGTGGACGTGGCCTTCTTCCCCTTTGATGTGCAGGAGTGTCATCTAACCTTTGGCTCCTGGACTCACAACGGCAACCAGATGGACCTGATTAATGCGTTGGACAGCGCTGACCTGGCTGACTTTGTCCCCAATGTGGAGTGGGAGGTGAGTGGTTACCTTGTTCATGAGTTCAGAACAAGGCCTTAGTCCTACATCTAATTCTTTGATAAAACTATATCCTTTTTCCGAACCAGGTTCTGGGCATGCCAGCCAAGAAGAATGTCATCCTGTATGGTTGCTGTTCAGATCCGTATCCAGACATCACCTTCACACTCCACCTAAAGAGACGTGCCTCCTTCTACATCTTCAACCTCCTCATTCCCTGCATGATGATCTCCTTTCTGTCTCCGCTGGGCTTCTATCTGCCGGCTGACTCGGGTGAAAAGGTTTCTCTGGGTGTCACGGTGCTACTGGCCCTCACTGTGTTTCAGTTGCTGGTGGCTGAGAGCATGCCACCCTCCGAGAGTGTCCCACTGATAGGTGAGAAGGCTGAAGAATCTCTAATTTTGTTGTTAATTTGTTAGGAAGATTAAGATAAACACTGGTTTAAATAGCTTGACTAAGTTCTTTAGGAAATGAAACGTGAAGGCGTCATTATTGTGTCCGCTTCAGCGTCTGACTCTGGGCTGTCACTCAGAACAGTTTCCCAACTTCCAGATTCCTGAAAAGCATTTAGTTATGACACAACAGGCAGTGTTTCAAAGGCACTGATTTAAAGTCTAATAGGCAAAGCCATAAAAAAATAGGTGGCAGTTCATGTGATTACATCATGGAAATGTTGTCCTGCATCTTGTCAAACGAGTGCAACAGCTTCTGTCTGCTCAGCATGTTCTGACTCTAATGTTAATATTAAAATGTTATTTTGAAATCGAAAAACCCAATGTCCAATGGTTGTTTTGCAAAAACAAATTCCAAACTTTCCTCTACTTCTTTCACTTTAGAACCTTTGGAGCCATTTGGCATTTAATATGATCGTTACATTCAACTGATAATAGGATTTTTCTGGGCTTTTTTAGCTATTGTTGTTAGCTATTGATCTAAACATAGACCTTCTTGTATACCTTGGACTGACTTGTACTTGCACTTTGCAATTGTATGGGCAGTAATAGATTAAAATAAAAAGACAAAGAAAGAAAGAAAGAAAGAAAGAAAGAAGTCTCCAGTAACCCCAGGATGCACATACACACCATGCTCTAAATTAATTTTGTGCCAAAGGTTTGTCACTGCCGAAACCAGAAATGCAGCAAAACGTCATCCTAAAAGCGACAGCAAGCCAAGCAACACTGGAAAGACAAGGGAGGTTTAACATCTTATTTCACCGACGACGGTACACATTTGTCAGAGCGACAGAGAGTATCAGATGAGTCGAGATGAGGATCAGTTTTCTCTGATGAAAGAATAAACTGAGTTCATCAGGACTTTCTAAACAACACAGCAGCGTTTCCTCCATTCACTGGTGGTATGTCATAACTGGCCAAAACACATTTTCACTTCATTATGTAATAACACCCACATTTTGTGTAATATAATATCATTTTATAATAAATTATTAAATATTATAATAATATGGTGCTTATGTAATAACCTACCAAGATGGATGTGTTCATATGTAAATCTGACATTTTTTAAATAATTATCTTAAATTAAACTTCCTAAATATTAAATTAGACCCCTTGGTATTATAGTTGACTCTGATCTTACTCAAAATAACCACATAAAAGCAGTAAAAAGAACAGCTGTCACAAATACAGCCAAACCCAGGGACTTTGTAGAGGCAGAAACCTCGGGTAGACCCTGGCTCTAGGTGGGTTGACCCTGGCTCTAGGTGCCTCGACCAGTTGGGGTTAGAGAGAGAGAGAAATAACTAATAATGAGGATGATGATAACGACGACAATAGCCACAGCGAGGGGGAATAATAATAATAATAATAATGAAAATTATAATACAATATTACATGATGAATTTAAAATATATTAAACTTTGGTTATTGCATAATGCATTGTTATACCTTGTTCTACCGTACTTACAGTTTGATATTGCTAAACAAATAATACAATTTTGCGTTTTGACACTTCTCAGTGCATTGATATTGCTGCTGCCAGCTGTCTGCTGACTGAAGATCAGTTTCTGTGCACTATCTGTTTGGATGTGTTCACTGATCCAGTCGCCACACCATGTGGACACAACTTCTGCAAAAACTGCATTACTACACACTGGGATATCAGTGTCATTTGCCGGTGTCCTGTGTGTAAAGACGTTTTCTACACAAGACCTGAGCTGCGGGTCAATACTTTGATCACTCAAATGGCTGCTCAGTTCAGAGAGTCTGCTCGACAGGAAGTCAGCAGCAAAAACTCAAAAACTTGTTGAGAGAGGCCCAAATCATCTCATTGAGACAATCGAAGAGAAGCGAGAGACCAACAGAGAAACACTGAAGGAAAGAGTCGCTGAGCTGGAGCAGCTCTCACGCTGCGAAGACCACCTCCACCTCATCCAAAGCTTCACATCCCTGAATGCTGCCCCTCCCACCAAGGACTGGACAGATGTCTGTGTCCTTCCACCGACACATGCATGGACTTAGATGAGCGCTGTGGATCAGCTGGAGGAGACACTCAGTAAAGAGATTAAGAAGGTCTTTGAGGGGGCGCTGAAGAGGGTCCCGCAGTATGCAGTGGATGTGGCACTTGATCCTTACACAGCAAATCCCTGGCTCACCCTCTCTGATGATGGGAAACAAGTCAACTTGTTGGTCATGTAAATAAGAATCTCCCAGACAATCCAAAGAGATGTTCTTATTATGCTAGTGTCTTAGGAAAGCAGAGTTTCACTTCGGGGAGGTTTTACTACGAAGTTCAGGTTAAAGAGAAGCCTAAGTGGGATTCTGGAGTGGCCAGAGAGTCAATCAACAGGAAGGGACAAACCACCCAGAATCCTCAGGAATGTTACTGGATGATATCTTTGAGGAATGAAAATGAGTACAAAGCTCTTGCTGACCCTCTTGTCCATTTCTCTCTGAAGTCCAAGCCTGAGAAGGTGTGGGTGTTTGTGGATTATGAGGAGAGTCTGGTCTCCTTCTATGATGTTGATACTGGAGCTCTTATCTACTTCAATGAGAAACTCTACCCATTGTTTAATCCCTGTAACAATGATGATGGTAAAAACTCTGTCCCTCTGATCATCTGTCCTGTCCATAATGTCAGGTTTAACATAATGCAAACATACAAAAATCACAAAATAAGGACTTATAACTCGAATACATCAGTATATTTCAATTCTAAATATGTTAGAAAACTGGTAAAAAACTGACACATTCCTACTTCATGTGCAAACAGGAAGTTAAAAGACAAAATAACAAGTGTGAGCACTTCCTTGTTGCTGAAACACAAAAGATACAGAATAGTCAGTACTTTGGGTATGATATAAATCTTGGACTGATCTCTGTCTTTGTGTTCATATAAGATATGTTCTGTGAAATGGCATACTATGGATGCCCATTCTAGAGAAAAGAATAAAGTAAACAGTCCACCTACATATAGTTAATTTGTATTGTATTGTATTTGTTACATTTCAACTGTTTTGCTTTTCTCTGCAGATGTTGAACAGATTATCTATAGAGTGTATGTGACAATCCATGAACATAGCCTAACCGAAATGTTTTTTGTGCCTAAACTTAACCAAACCTTAACCACATTGGTTTAATATCATAAAGCAGTTGTTGAATCTCAACTAATAAGCTAAAAAGTGTGACCATAAATAGTCTCCAGTGAAGAGTGTCAGTAAATAGCTTCTGTGCCTGGCTCCAAATCAAAAACTGCCAAATGTTTTTCATTACAATCATGGCAAAACCAGAAAAGCAAGAAAACCTCACTTACATAACTTAAGAGGTGGAACAAGTGTGCTTCAGTCACATTTCAATAGTTAACTTTTTCTCAAACGGCTGTTGTTTCGCTGCATCTTCTTCCTCTCCACTTTCAGTGTAAGAGATCAGTAGAAGAACAATGAATTTTAAATGAATGCTGAGATTCAGTTTACTGTTATAAAGGAGGAGAAAGTTGCTGGGCAAGCAGATCAGCAGTTGTTCTGTGTGTGTGTGTGTGTGTGTGTGTCTCTCTCTCCTCTTGTTTATGACAAATAAACTGAACAGACATTAAAGATTCTGGTGAACACTTTTAGACCCGGCAGTAAACACCCTGTTTATGTTTGCTGGCTAACAGAATTGTAATGAACAAGAGGCTGGGTGGTCGATCAGGTCCGTCAGTGGTTATTTAAAATATAACAATCACAGCTAAAGAATCAATGATCTCTCAGCAATCTGAGCAGCACTTCAACCTGAGAGACTCAATATTGCAGACAGCAGTTTGTTCATTAAATCCTCAAAGTTCAGCTTACAGCTTTCTGTAGATCACAACTAGAGAACTGAGCTTTCAAAAAAAGAATATAACAGTGAGTCAAAGTAACCTGTCCTTCTAACCAAACAAATTGTATTGGTCATTCATTCAAATGCTTATTTTGAACCATATTTATGTTTTTTGATATACAAACTCTTGTGTACAATAAGATAGACTTTAGAAAGTCTTTAGAAAATACACATGAAATAAAAAGAAAATAGAAAAAGTAGAAGATGTAATAGAAAAAAAAAAACTGTTCAGCACCACCTCAGTGGTTGCAACCAGTGACTGTATAATTAAAAGTAGACCTAGTGTTGGTGACCTCACCCATAGGTTTCTGAGGTGAAGCATGGGTGGAGCTGAGACGGGCAGAATAAAGCCTGGTTACTGAAAACAGTCACTTAAAGCGGACACTCCCTAAATTATGCAAAACCTTAAGCCATAATATGATTTAAACGAGTGAGTTATATAAAAATTCAGCCCCCATAGAGTTGTCATAAATTGGGAAATTAGCTACCGAGACCAAAACTGTGTTTGGACCCAGGCTATAAACCTGTTTATTTCAGTTGTAAAGTTAAGAGTTTTATTATTGGGGCTTAAGTAGATTGACTCACTACTGGAGCCAGCCTCTAGTGACCGTTAGAGAAACTACAGTTATTGGCACTTCCACGTTGGCTTAATTTACAGCCATAGAGGTTGCTGCTTAGTTGTAACAAAGACAAGTGCTGCTCTTGCATTGTTATCTTGCACTTCCCTAACCTTTAGGCCATCACGCACCCACTTCCTTCTCCACCAATCACCAAACTGCTGACAGAGAAGCAAAGCTGACATTTGTATTTGAGAATTTAAAGATTTAACTGTAAATGGATTATCATTTTGAACTCCAAATGATATTCGTTTTCCTTTTTCAACAGGAAAGTACTATATTGCTACCATGACGATGGTGACTGCATCTACAGCGCTCACCATCTTCATCATGAACATCCACCACTGCGGTTCCGAGGCTCGCCCAGTCCCGCAATGGGCCGAACGCTTCATCCTTAACTACCTCGCTCGTATCTGTTTCGTCTACGAGGTTGGGGAGAACTGCCTTGGTGCGACCACATCCAGGAAACAACCTCTGGCTCAGGGGGAGTCTGAAGCCCCGTCGGCCAATGGCGGCAACAACACCAAAGGAACAAACTGGGACGTGAACGGGCAGGCGTGGGGAGGGAGGGGGGAGGAGGAGGGTGCTGAGGAGTCTATGAAGCTGGAGCGGGATTTGACCATCCAAAAGGACTGGAAAGAGGATCTGTTTGTGACCATCGACCACTCAGAGGAGGAAGGAGCTGCTGGGGGACATGAAGTGGAGCGGGGGGAGTCATACAGTGCATGTGCAGGAGGTGGAGAGCATGTTCAGGAAAAGAAAGGTGTAGGAGGTGAAGGGGGAGGCGGAGCCAGGGAGAACAGGAGGGAGATCTTGGTGAGAACCCAGTGTGTGTGCCAGCACCAGGGACTGCGCAGGAACGTTGAGTACATTGCCAACTCATACCAGGACCAGCGAGCTGCACAGCTACGCATTGGGGAGTGGAGGAAGGTCGCCAAGGTCATGGATCGGTTCTTCATGTGGCTCTTCTTCATTATGGTCTTCTTCATGAGTATCCTCATCCTGGGAAAAGCCATCTAATGGAGATCCCACTTCAAAGAATCATGAGAGTGTGAAGGAAGCCAGTTGCTAAAGTAATTTGTTGAACCAGTAAGTCTTAATTAGGCCTTTTCCACCAACAGGGAACCGTCTTTGTTCTGGTTCGCACACCTAGTTTTGAGCATTTTGACCAAAACTAAATAGTTTTTTTCATTTTTTAATTTCAGCCAAAAAATACAGACCTTGTGCAAAAACTTTCAGCCTAAATTTAAATTAAAATTTTGCAGATGAAAAAACTTGCATGGCTATTTTAAAAGTCCCTGGACCTCTAACCTCAACAATCTGATTAAAATTGAGTTTTATGGGTACCCACGAGTCTTCCCTTCTCGATCTTCCCACTTTATACTAATCCCATGTAGTTTCTTTGCATGCAGTATAAATGTGTTATTTTAGTGTATTTTAATATTTCTGCATACTGCGGACCATAAACAGTGTTGGAACTACATAAATTGGGAATGACTGGAAAGCTGAGACTCGTGGATTAAATGAACCCAACAGCATGGTTTGAAAGAATATCGTTATATTTTTTTAAGAGTGGAATATGACATTAAACGGTGGGTCAGAGTTCATTTTAATCACACTGGCTTCCATCTGTTTGTGATGATCAAAAATGTTTACATGATGAGATGAATGATCTGTAACCAACAAAGTATATTATGGCCTACAGCTGAACACACACAGTTTTAAATACTTTATAATATAATATATTTTGAGTGTTCATTTTTTGACAACATAAGAATGCATGCAGGATTTTTTTTAATTTTTATTCATCAATCACATTGAAATTAATGATATCTGGGACTACAACAATTATTGTCATCGTTTTTTTTTCTATTTATCAATTTATTTTTTAGTACAGTATATAAAATGTAAAATACTTCTGTATTCTCATTTCAAGCCTTCATACTGGAGAAGCTTGAATAACCTAAAGTTTTAAGATCAAATTAGACAAATGACTTCAACATCAAGTATCCAACACGTTCTCTCTCCCAACTCATCGAATACCGCCTGATCAGTGGCTCTCCGTTTTAAAATATGATGCTTTAGTTACCCTGCGTGGTTAATGTTGGCAAACGGTGGCAGTTTGGTTAGGATTTCATTGGCGGACGCGTCCAGAAATGAACAAAGAGGAATACCTATACGACCATTTATTTTGCTATGAATTTAATTTTAAGTGAGTTTTGTCATTCATAGTTCTAACAGAACATTCAGTTTTGTGTTTGAGACCAAAGAAGTTCAAGTCCAGTCACTGACTCTAAATGAGAGACAGACTGAGACAGACTGAGACAGAAAAACGGAACGCTAGTGAGATGGGTTTTTGCAGCCAGGCATACGATTGCAGTGACACTGATTGGCTGCCAGTGTCAATGTTTGTTCTAGAAAGAAATTGAATTAAACCAGTTTTCTGAACAAGGACAGAGGTTGTAGAAAATTAAAAATGAGGAACAGTGGTATAGATGTGGTCTTTAAGAAACTGTGAGTGGAAGGAAGGAATGAAGGAAGAAAAGAAGGAAGGAAGGAAGGAAGGTAGAAATGAAGGAAAGAAGAAAGGAAGAAAGGAAGGAGGAATAGAAGCGCCTGGATGCCAACAAAGCTGGTCTGACTTTTTAAAAACTACAGATGATTTTCAGCTCAAATCCAATCCACACTAAAACAGGAGCAAGCTGGTCTTCCGAGTACGGCCTAATGTGTCGAAACAACTCTCTTAACTCATCTGGATACCTGGGGAGTGCTCTATTAAAATAAATCCCTTCTTCTGATGAAATGATAAAACACTGTAACTGAAAAAGTTCACGGGAGCAGCAGAGTAGATCTGAGGCTGAAGATTCAGAGAAAATCCCACACAGTTTCTTTCTCATGTTATCAGTTATTCAGCCAAACGAGTTTACTTTAGCATCACTCACTGCATGACCGAGCCATACACTGTAACTGTGATAATGTCATTATAACAAAGAGTTATTCAAGAAACAGGCTTATCAAGCCTTTGGGACATACATCCTCTTGCTCCAGGCAGTTTAGCTGCTTTCATGAGACTTAAAAACATATCATATGTTATCTGTTTAAAAACAAAACCTTAACAATATTTACTTTTAGACTGCAAAATGTCCCAATAATGAGTACATATCTTGGTCATAATTATGCAATAAACAAATTACTTATCAAAATATTTGACTGAGGTGAAAAAATAAATGAAACTTGCCTGAATCCAAAATAAGGTTACTCAACTTTTCTGCAGTGTGTGTCTTCTTAACAATGTAAAAACAAGAAATGCCAAATCACTGTAACTACTTGTTATATATAACCTGTTTGTGTGGTGTTCAACATTTGTCAAAAAACACATATTTACACATGACACACTGTTAATGCCATGAAATACATTAAAGATTTCTTATTAAAACAACTTTGTTTAGTGAAGTTTGTGGAGACTTTTTTTCCTCAAAACTTACAATGCTCAAATATTGTCTATATACATGTCTATAAAAGACAGATAGCATGCAGTCTCTTCTGACTTGAATTATTGGCTCAGTAAACAGTTTCCTGATGAGTTTCTGGTCTCAGTGTCTAGTTTCAGTCTTCTTCCATACAGCATGATGTTCATTTAGTAACTGATGGTCCCATTTAGAGTAAAACAGACCATAAAGCAGGGTATGCTTTAGGGCGGGGCTACCTTGTGATTGACAGCTCATTCTCAGTGAGTCCGTCCAGCTCAATGCACCAAACTCAGATCAAACTGTCAAACAGTGCTGATCAGATACGGATCCAGATTCTGCAATATGAGAATGTGTAATGTGTAATCAATTGAACCGTACTCATAAATGAAAATCGAAACAGTTCCTCCTCAGTTGTTTGTTTTCTGGTTTCCCTCTTGTGCATATATGTGCAAATAATTAGACAACTTCTGTATGTCCAGAGATTTGCACTTTAGTTCAACAGCAAATAGGATTCTAATTTTGCAATGGGGTCACACCAGCCCATCAAGATGTTGACGCTCCAACTGGTGAATACTCAGTAGTCATTAGCTGGACCACACCCATCTTCAGCCTTCATTTTGATCTCAACTACAACTACTTTTTATTACAGATGTTCTCAATTGCTAAAACACAATTTCTGAAACCTTGCTCCATTTTCTGGAAATGGAAAGCACAATGTTCAGGGCCAGACGATGTGTTTATTGTACAGTATACAGCCTACAATGCACTGTACTACAGTATACACTACAAAAATCAAAGGAGTAAACATGTGATCAATGTGCTTCTTCTTGTCTTTGGGCTGGGTCAGGCCAGAGCACTTCGTCGACATCACAAGCAATATTTTCCCACCTTCAACAACCTGTTTCCTCTCTGAACTGTCTTATATTGGTTGTGTCATTTGAAACAAGTGAAATCAATTTTGAGTGGTTGTGTTTAATCAATGACGTGTTCTCTATTTGTATTTGATTGTTGCTGTGTTTACCAGTATGAATGACGTGCATTAGAGTGCAGAATGTGTTTAGAGTTCTGCTGAAAAGTCTAAGTGAGATCTGCAAATTGTGTTTTACCATGTGAAATGGTTTAAGGTATTGACAACAGACTGCACAATTAACTAAATGAGTTCAGGCAACTGCAAACTTTGTTCAGCCAATGGGTTTTAGTGTTTTAGCAATTGAGAAAAACTGTAAGAACTGTGAAAAATGCAGATTGGATGATGCGTTCAGTTTATTCAGCTGTAGGAGGAGTAGAACACACAAAACAAGATGGCACACCTACATTAGAGGATGTAAAGGAGTGTGTAGGGAGGAGCAAGAAGAGGGTTGAGAAAGAATGCAACAAGGAAAGAAAATGTTTACCTGGTACACAAACTACGGGTCACATGGAAATTTCCACTACAAGAACTAAAAGCCAGTTTTCATGAAATATATCAGCCATAATCAATAACAAATTTCATGTTCAGGATTCACATTTTTAAGCAACACATTTATTATTTATCATGCTCTATCACCTACATGCACACAAGGGAGGTAGGGGAGACCATCCTTAGCAAACAGAGATTCATTAACCTGATCTTCCAGTTAGATGAGACGATCACGGTTCATTGCAGACTGGTTCATCAGTCTGCAGTGTAGTTTCTGTAATTCAGTGTAGCTTCAGTGTAGCTGCAATACATTCTGGTCCTGTTATGGTTATTGTTATTGTTGTCTCTTCTGCAATAGATGATAAAAGAAACATTCTGAATTATTACTTCAATTTGGGTCCTTTTTTTGTGGTTCTGTCCATTTCTACCAGTTATATACTAAATGAAGTTAACACCTGAGATCTGGGGACACAGTGACATTATTTAATTACTTTATTTCCCCACTTTAATTGAAAGTGGGGAAATGTTAGCTATAATTCCTCATTGCTCAGGATAAGTGTGTGTGCACAACTAGACTGTCAACTCCAGTTCAATGTCTCCACCCTCCCCAGAAGAGGATAAACAAAATGTAGAAAAAAAACAACCTAAAATATATAATCCTTTGTCAATCAACATGGCAGTTAGACTTTACAGTAACACAGTAAGCTAAACTTAGACTGATAGTAAGATAATAATGGTCATGAGACTCAAACCTGAAAGGCAACAAAGCCTCTCTGACAGAGCAATACTGGAAAGACAAGAGAGCCTTGATGCCAAGCTCCACAGATGAAACTGAAAGTGTGCAGAGCGACAGCCGACCTGTAGTCCAAATGAGTCTCTTTATTCTCAAAAGAAAATCTAAACTAAAGTAAGTTCATCAGGACTTTCTCAAAAACAAAAACAACAACAAGTCTCTGTATAACACTGGTGAGTACCGCTGGAGATAAGTTTCACTCATTGTATTTCAGAAGAGATGTCTCTTGTCAAATTTAATTTCCTGTAAACATCTTCATCTGATAAAAATTAGCCAATTGAAGTCTGTAAATGTTGTCAGGGTTATCTCAACTTGGGCTTGGAAACTACAAATTTATAACAGAAAGTCTGCATTAGAAACTGGAGGTGTGGAGTTTGGGAGTATTGTGGAGCATTAATGGAAATGTATGATACAGTTTTGGTAGCCTGTCCCATACTAGGGATTAAAAGTCAAGATATCTCTGCTGCTTTAGTCTTTTCAGTTCTATCTCAAAATCTGTCTCTTGTAAGTTCCCCAATTTTATGATGAGTACACATTTAAGTGCAAGATAACTACTTGGTTCAAAATGTCTCCCGTAGTATTAAAGAACACTGTAATTATTTGTACTATAAATACATATATTTTGACACTTTTGTTCTCAGTGCATTGATATGGCTGCTGCCAGCGGTCGGCTGACTGAAGATCAGTTTCGGTGCTCCACCTGTCTGGATGTGTTCACTGATCCAGTCGTGATACCATGTGGACACAACTTTTGTAAGAACTGCATTACTAAACACTGGGATGTCAAAATCCCTTGCCACTGTCCTGTGTGTAAAAACGTTTTCTACGCAAGACCAGAGCTGCGTGTCAATACTTTGATTTCTAATATGGCTGCTCAGTTCAGACCAATCAGCAACAGCAGCTTAGAAAAAAGATGTGCTAAAACAGGAGACATTTCCTGTGACATCTGCACTGGAACTAAACTGAAGGCCCTGAAGTCCTGCCTTGTATGTCAGACATCCTATTGTGAGACTCACCTGGAACCTCATCTGACAGTTTTAGGGCTGAAAAGACATCAACTGATCGATTCTGTGGAGAACCTGGAAGACGACATGTGCTTGAAGCACAACAAACCGCTGGAACTGTTCTGCAAAGTGGACGAGATGTGTGTCTGCAGGCTCTGCATTGTTTTAGACCACAAGACACATGATGTTGTTCCTCTGAAAGCAGAATATGAAGCAAAGAAGGCTGAGCTGGGGAAGACAGAGGGCAAAATTCAACAGATGATCCAGAAGAGACAACTGAAGATTCAGGAGATCAAATGCTCAGTGCAGCTCAGTAAGCAAAATGCGGACATAGAGATAGCTGAAGGTGTTCAGGTCTTTACTAATTTGATAGAGTGTGTTGAAGAAAGTCAGGCCGATCTTATTGAAATAATTAATAATGAACACAAAACAATAGAAAATCAGGCTGAAGGCTTCATCAAAGACCTGGAACAGGAAATCTCTGAGCTGATCAAGAGATGTGCTAAGCTGGAGCAGCTTTCACACTCTGAAGACCACCTCCATCTCGTCCAAGGCTTCCCATCCCTGAATGAGGGTCCACCAACAAAAGACTGGACAGAGGTCTGTGTCTGTACACCGACATATGAGGGGACAGTGTTGAGAGCTGTGGTTCCACTTGAGAAGGTGCTCAATAAAGAGATAACAAAGGTCTTTGAGGTAGAGCTAAAGAGAGTCCAGCACTATGCAGTGGATGTAACACTTGATCCGGATACAACACATCCCAAACTAATTATTTCTGATGATGTGAAACAAGTATATCATGGTGAACTAATCAATTTCTCAGACAATCCAAATAGATTTCATCCTTGTGTGAATGTCTTAGGACAGCAGATTCTTTCTTCGGGAATAATTTACTATGAGGTTCAAGTTAAGGGGAAGACTGACTGGGATTTAGGAGTAGTCAGAGGGTCGATCAACGGGAGGGGAAAAATCAGACTGCACCCCCAGCATGGTTATTGGACAATATGTTTAAGGAATGAAAATGAGTACAAAGCTTGCACTGACTCTTTAGTGTGTCTCACTATTCATTCAAAACTGTTCATTGTAAAGTATAATTATAATTAGTTTTTGAAAGACAATAAAGCAATGGAAAGGTTTGGATGTGTATACCATATTTCGTCTGCTTTAAATGATGAAATAACTGACTTTGTATTAAAGTTTTAAAAAAATAAAACTTTGCCTTGAACAAAGAGGAAGAGTATGATTGAATCCAACATAGACAAGTCCAATGTTCACACAGGAGGAAACAAGTTAGTGACAAAACAGTTTAGTGCAGATTAGTCACTGCTGACTCCAAGTATTTGTGTTCTGATTCGATTGGATTGATTTAAATTGTAAGCATATTATGATGTACAGAATCTTTTTATCTTTTAAACACAAGTCATTGGAAAATAAGGCATTTAAGTTAAGTTTTGTAAATATATTTTAAGACACCAGAAGACTGCTAACCTCAGCTGACAGTAAATGTAATTAGAAATGTAAGCTAGGGGTAGAGCTGGCAACCCATGTATGTAAGAAAATGTAATCTAGTGGTTAGCTGTGATGGTTTCAGTAAGTCAGACGACTGAATGGTTGAGTGTAACAACAGGACTTAGTGATGGTAGATAAGTGACATTAGTATGACTTCAAAGGCTGGATTACTATTAAAGTTACATCCACTGATCATAGGAACTGTCAAGGCAGCAGTCGGTAAAAGAAGATTTTTTGTGTACAATTGTAAAAGTTATGAGCATAAATGGTGAAGATTTCGACTTAAAACCAAGCTAAACGTCTTACTTGTATATGCTCTGTGTATTATGAAGTGGTCCATTTTGAAGAGGTTCAAACACTTGTAGTATAAAGAAAAAAAATACTGAAATTACTGAGACCAATGTTTCAGCTTTTGGCCTTCATCAGTAGTGTTGCTGGAGATTTTACCTTTTCAGACTGTTTACCTTCTCGATTCACTTTGGAACTAGATGAAGTTGTGTCAGCAATATCCCTAATCTACATCAGCTCAATGTATTTGGTAATTCCTCATTAAAAAGAGATTATATCTCAATGGAAAAATGTTGATTAAGAGAGAAACAAATTGTGGATAAAGACTAGACTGTACACCCTTCATAGATATTCATGTACACACAACCTGTTTTCATACAGACTGAAAGATTTACTTTTGTTCATTTCTATACAACAATTTTGCTTTCAAACTATATAAACAAACCACTGCTCCTTCCTGCCCTGCTCCTAATCATGCTTTCTCTCTGAGAACAGCATTTCACACTGCTTGCATGTTGGTATGTTAATTTAAGGGACTAAGCCTGGCACCAGTGCTACATGGGTAAATAATTTCATTCCCTGTGTGGTTTGATGCACAGAAATGTACAACACATGCGGACATATTATTGTTGAGATTAAAAAAGCTAAGAAAATGTCCCCCATATGTTTTTTCTTAGTTTGTTATTTTAGTTTTCTTGCTGGTGTTACCTCAGCAGGAACTACACTGCAGTAGCAAACAGTGAGCAGCAGATGGAGCCAAAGAACTGCATGAATCTTAAACTCCAGCTTCTCTGCACTGAACTTCTACTATCACATTCAGTACAAACACATTTCTATTCAAACCTGGGTTTTATTTATTTTATTTATCATGTCATCATTTGACACATAAACAATAGACATTTATATGTTTCATAACAAATAATCCTGAAATATATGTAATTTATTGTGTCACCAAATGTTAAAGGTCCAGCCTGTAACATTGAGGAGGCTCTATTGTCAGTAATGGAATATAATATTCATAGGTATGTTTTCAATAGTCTATAATCACCTGAAAATAAGACTCTTTGTGTTTTTGTTACCTCAGAATGAGACGTTTTTATCTACAGAGGGAGCGGGTCCTCTTCTACAGAGTCTGACATGTTGAACCGCCATGTTTCTACAGTAGGGCCTGCTTAGTTGAGACAGAGGTTTCAGTTGCCTGCAATCTGCAACTTCACTACAAGGTACCACTTGACCTTTTTGTACAGAGCTCTCAAAAAATAAAGGTGGGAATATCTTTTTTAGAACTACTTTTGGGTTACCTTGCAATACATTTGCATTCTCTCTGCTCCACAGAGGAAGAGTGAGCTGTATTACAATATAGTATTATGTATTGGTGGCTGAGACATAAGTGGGCACACCCTCAGCTCAGTTATGACTCTGGCTGTGACACATTGATTTATAATGGGTGTAAGACAGAACTGCTCGCAGGAGTTTTGACATGGTTGTGTTGGCGTACTGAAGTTGTAGTGTATTGCTAAAGTTAATTGGTAAAGTTATAGGACAGCTACCATAGCAGTATCCATTGCACTGTAGATACTATTTCCACAGCCCCAGCTTTAACCAGCACAGCCAGCAGCAGTTGTCAGTCAGTCGCTATATACTGCTGGAGCTCAGCCTTTTGAAAGGAGTTATGAGCAATAAATGCATCATGGAAAATGTAACATCATCTTTGCTTTATCTGCAGAGCTGGACCAACTCACCAACAGTTTGTGTGGACTGCGGGAATACAACATTGTGAAAAAGATGTTCAGAAAAAAACCAATCAAGGGGGCTCTATAAGCTTTCAGTTTGAACTTTAAATCAAACATTAAAGCAGGAAGAATGGGAAAACCATGTGATCCTTACACACAGCTGTATTTTAACTAACCAGTTTTCTTACCACCCCTTAACGGTGGTAAGTCAAACATCAAACTGCCAGTTTTAGGTTAACTATATTTATGTTAAGCTAAAGCATTTTGAAAGTATGAAACTTGTGTTACAGTGGAACGTGAATAAATCAGAAAGTAATATTATGTTTGCGAGTGACCTGAGGCATGGCTTCGGGGCAACAAATTAAGGAAAGCTGAACTCAAAAATCTACAGACTGAAGCTGCTCGGTATTGTTGCAGTCAGTATGATGTACAGATGTTGAACACCATACCAGTCGTCTCGCTACAAGATAAATTCCTGTTATATGAAAACTTACTTGGCAATAAACCTGAAGTGTTATACCATGCAGCTACTTCTACCAACAGCTAAGTTTTAAACTAAATCGCACCTAAAGTTGGACCCTGTTCCTTCACCTTTGTAGGTCATATACAGCAGTGGTTCCCAACCTTTTTCTTTAAGGGACCCCTTTTCTATCATTGAGTATATTGACAACCTCTGATTAAGTGACATAATAATTTATGGATATTTAATATTATGTTCAATGAATAACAATAACAGCTGATAAACTGTACAATGAACCCAAACAGTAAACTGCAGGAAGTTTGTGTAAAACCAGAAATTTGGATGAATTTGGAACAGATTATTTCCTGTGAAAATTGATCAAAGATGAGTTTTCCTGGTATTTTTAAAAACTTTTTATGCAATTCTCTTTAACAAATTCAGTGCTTTCTTTTCTTATCCTATTGTTCTATTAGCTCTTCACTTTTTTACAGGCTTAGCAGAGAGGGAAGGCTCAGAGTGTAGCCTGTGTTCAGATATTCAAAGTTGAATGATAATATAAACATTAAAAATAAAATGTTTTCTTACATCCCTTACAATCAAGAAGGCCTGAAGACCCCCAGTAAACCAGTCTAATGTGGGATATATAGTAACAATAAGGTAAATGGGCTACCTGTACACTCTTGAATATCAGATGTTTGCATTGAAAAACGTTGTGAACAGTAAACAAAAACAGTTGTAACAACTGTTGCATGTTGGGAGCTCAGGGACTACACTGCCCCCTGATGGTCCACCAGTTTCATCACTGTATGTTCCAGTTGCCACAGCAGCCTGTAATGACTTCTGTTAATGTTTCTGAAACAAATCATTAATGAGATCCGCTGTGAGCTGCTCCCTAACAAAACACTCATCAACAGTTTCTGATGGTAATTAGTCCTCTGGGAGCAAAGACAGAGGCCCACTAATAGATGTTTATCAGAGATCATAGGAGCTAATGAAACCTCCTGGGACCTGCAGGGACCCACATCACTGTCACTGTCAATGTATGAAGAAGTTTTTCGTTTCTGTTTTACCAACATGCAATGTTTTGGTCCACAGAACTACTGCTCAGATTTTGATGATGGATATTTATGGTCCCAGGTGAACAGTGACCTTTCCTCTAGTACCCTTATTTACCATTTGAACATATCATGATTTAACAGAAAGACCCCCATGAAACTTAATGAGCGCACACATGTTTTTGGTTTTAATGACTCCATGACTTTTCCTCGATAAAACACATAATGGTCCTTCTGTCCAGGTATTTTTTGTCCTACGCTGTTCTCCCTCCAATGAAGGGAAGTCTTAAAGGTCCAGTGTGTAAGATTTCGGGGTTTTTATTTACAGTATATAATATGTATAGGTATATTTTCTTTAGTGTATAATAGAAAAGGGAATTTGTGCGATTTTATTGATACCAGTACCATTAGAAAAAGTAGGCTTACACAGGTTTTCAGCGTCAACACAACTGTTTCATTACCTGTGAGTCTGAACACAGTTAAGATAAAGAGCAGAGTTATACTATAGTTTCAGTATCTTACTGACATGAAATCACACTTTGGATTGTTTCTTCCTCTCCGACATGACTCCTTCTTGTAGCCACTTTCCAGCAGCGTAGACGCAAGTTTGCGGTCAATGCACAACTGCTAAAAAAAACACGCTGGCCTTGAAAGGAAGAAAGAAGTTGATAAGCTTGGTGGAATACAATACTGCTTTCCAGAACAAACACGTGTGCAGGTTTAGAGAAGGTTGAGATAATAAGATGGACAGAGGAAGCAGAGGGAGAAGTGTGAATGTAAAGAGAGAGGACCAGTGAGCAGGGTAGAGTCTCTTGAGAGAGAGCTCCCTGTCCGCACACTGAACCCCTCACTGCAGCTTTTAATTCTATTAACCTGCTGGTCATTGAAACACCTGGGAGCTCACAGGCCTCATTACAGCCCTGTAATAACACAGGAACCACACAGACATCCTTGTGTTTCTAACTTTGTTAGGATCCTCATTGACATAATGTATTCTGCAGCCCCTTACCCTACTCTTAACCATCAATGACAACACCAACCCTTAGCATAAACCTAACCGTTCCCCGAACCTCAAGACCAAGTCTGAACCTTCAGACAGACCTTCGAAGAAGTGAGGACTAGCTAAAAATGATATAATAAGATGTAATACATTTTTCAGATTATTCCAAGTACAAAGCAAGAGAAAGCTTTTTACCCAGCTCAGTGAAAACCCTTGGAACCAGGTAAGGGTGCCACCTGGTGACCCTATCTAGATTCAAGGTTTTGATTTGTCTGTTCTGGGTTACTGTAGAAACATGGCGGTTCAACATGGCGGACTTTGCCAGAAGAGGACCCGCTCCCTCTGTAGATAAAAAAATCTCATTCTAAGGTAACAAAAACTCAACGATTCTAATCTTCAGGTGATTATACACTAATGAAAACATAGGGATGAATATTATATTCCATTTCGGACAAGAGATCCTCCTAAGGCTGGAGATACAGTATACCTGCTTTTAACTACGCATTTGCCTAGCAGGATAGCTGCCTTGTGTATCCTACATCTGTTTGGACCATTGGTCGTCCTCAGAACTTAACACAACAGTTAAACTTTAACTATATCTTCGGCTTCAATGTTACACACTGTTTAGGCGCCGACCATGAACTGCAAAGCACCCTACCATTATTTATTGGTATTTTTCCACTGTCAGCTATCGAATAAACAAGTAGGGCCAACAAGAGGCTTTATTCTGTAACTTGAGCACCCTGATTTGAGAACATAGACAAAGCAGCAAGTGTGCAAGATTTTAAGAACATCCCATCGAAACATCGACCAACAGTGATGATGTTGCTTGCTGAAATGGTTGCATGTGACGGATGTTTCTTCCTCAGCCACTGGTGGTAAGAATAACTTCAGGTCATTATTATAAAGATGACCGCATGCTCCCATATGATCACTCAGGTGGTAAAAGGATAAGATTACACAATTCTGTATGGCTACCGTTGTGTTCAAAGTCTAACTATCTCTTGTTGAAATAAATAACTTATTTAAAGTCAAACATTCAGTCAGCTTGAGACCCAAGCAGCAGGGGGCAGTAGATGTTACAATGGTAACTGTGCTGTGGGCAGGGATCAGCGTCACTGACCACGATCACAGTAAAATCATTAAAAGCGAACACACTCTGGTCGACAAGTCAGATCATCAAAGCTCAGACGAAAGGACAGAAGAGGGCACTTCAGGCTTTTCACTCGAACCTTTTCAGAGTTGTTATCACTAGACCTTTATTTTCTTTTTATGTGAACTTTTGGTGAAATATTAAATTGTTCTGAGACCGTCAGTTGCCTGTTTTACTGTAGGTACCACTGTGTGATCTATTGCATGTAGTTTTGATTAAGGATTTACAAAGACAAATGTTACAGGCTGAATACTGTAATTCTGTTCACATTTATGTGTTTCACAACCCTGTACTGGAGTTTATAGTAGTGTGTGGTTATAATCTTAAATGATGATCACTGATGCCTGTTTGGACGGTTTTTATATACTTGTGTTTTACAGAACTGCACTGCTGTGGATGGAGAATGTAACAATGGCAGCTCCTCTCAAACAGCCTATAGTGTTCGAGCTGGAGGGCTTCCACATATCACCTGGCTATGGCTCTTCCCTGTTCACCCTGGCTCTGTTTAACTTCATGGTAATCCTGTTGGGGAATGGCGTGGTGGCGTGTATCATTGTCATAGACAAGAACCTGCACAGACCCATGTTTATAATGCTTTTCAACCTGGTGGCGTGTGATCTGCTGGGGGCCACGGCAGTGCTGCCTCGCCTCATGATGCACTTTTTGATGGGGCAGAAGAAAATCGCCTACATCCCGGCCCTCGCCCAGGCCTTCTCTGTGCACACGTACGGCGTCGCAGTGCAGACTATACTGGGTGCGATGGCCTATGACAGGTATCTTAACACATTAACACAAACATTCAAGTGGTTCTTTTACTGTCCTGTCACTGTCATGTCAAGATAGATGTTTTTGGTGCTGTATTTTACTGGGTCTTTAAATGTTATGAAATATAATCAGTGGGTTATGGAAGGACCTTGCATGCTGCATGTCACCCCCTTTCTCTCTTTCCAAGTCTTCAGTCTGTGTCTAAGGATGAGAAAGGTATTTCTTAGAAAGAACACCTCTTTAGTAAAACCTTGAGTTTCAAACTTATTTATTTTTAAGTTGTGTCTCCCATCCTTAATAAAACTCTTTATATTTATTAACCTTTAACCTAAAATACACTAAAATAGTACATATGCCAGAACTGGCCTTACAATGTAAAACAATTGGAACACACATTCTTTGCTCAATTAGAAGTACAAAATACTCTGATAAAAGTAGAAGTGCTGATTCTTTAGTGAAGTAAGAAAGTAAAAGTACAGGCTCTGAAATGTACTCAACGTATAAAAGTAAAAGGTACTTTTTTGCTGGCGAAGCGGCTGCCAGTTAATTACTGTAAATTTACAGACGAAAGTCTTACAGTGTATGTTCAGCATAATATTGAGCAAAGATCAGGATGTAAAGGTTTGGGTGTAATGGATATACATTTTTACAGTTGGATAAATTAAAAATGACCTTAGACCTGCAACAACAATGAATTAAAATGTTAAAAACTATATTTTTTGTCAAAGCCACAGGGAGCCACTGGAGGTTGTCCAGCCCTGGTCTACTTTAATCCCATGAAGAAGAAGAGGAAGAAGAAGGGAATGAATGTGTGTGTGACATTTGTGGTACAGGGAAATAGTGGCAGAGTGAACTAGCCCATGTCTGAAAGCAATCCACCATCTCTCCTTTTACCTTTTATGTCTTTACCTGCCTCTGCAGATATGTTGCTGTGTGCCAACCACTCCGGTATCACACCATCATGACCTCAGCTCGATTGCAGTCTTGCTGCACCCTGGCCTGGGTCGTGGCTCTGCTGTGTATCACCGTGCTTTTTGCCTTTCACATGAACGTCCCATTGTGTGGCAACGTCATCCAACACGTCTACTGCAGCAATCGAGCTATACTGAACCTGGCCTGCCATCCCACCACCATAAATAATATCTATGGTTAGTGCATTCGTTTAGAGCAGTGGTTCCCAACCTGGGGGTTGGGATCTCCATTAGAGGGGGGGGTCCCATGAAGCTTTGATGACCTCTAGGCCTTCTTGATTTTAAGGCATGCTACAAAACTTAAAAATGTACACAATAGGCCAATATCTCAGCATTTGGTTGGTTCACTAAAAGTAAATGTCTGTAAATAATTTCTAAGGAGTTCTACTCTATTTGAAAAGTGTCCCGAAGTAAATTGTCAAATGGAACAATAAGTAATTTGTGTTGTGCTTATAGACTTAGACTTATATAATAAAATACACAATTTTGGAGGTTAACATGATACTTAGGATAATTGTGTTATCTTTTGTGTTTCTAGGTCTTGCCATGACCTGGTCCGTGAAATCAGTTATCTGGCTGATCACTGCCTTTTCCTACTTCAGAATCCTGCTTGCTTCCATAAAACAAGGCAGTGCTGACAGCATCGTCCGCAGCAAGGCCTTTCAGACGTGCTCACCGCACCTTGTTGTGTATGTGTTGTCTGAAATAGCTGCAATGGTCATAATTTTGAGTCAGAGGTTCCCCTCAGTGTCCCCAAACATCAAGAAGTTCTTCAGCATCCTGTTCATCATCGTTCCACCAACCATAAACCCCATTATCTACGGACTGGTCAGTAAAGAGCTACGTGTTAGCATCATCAAGCATTTTAGCTTACAAGTCTGTCAAAAAACATAAGAGGGCGTTAATGCCTTTAGATCATTAAAGAGCTGTAGTCCCTGCTCTTTCACTATACCTCTGTGTCTGTGTCTACTTTCAAATATAAAATATGCTGCATATTATCTTTATTTATATTTTTCAGCCTTGTCATTGAGCCCTCCACTACCTATTATTAAAGTTTTCCTTTAACTTGTGATTTTAATTGAAGCTAGAATTTAGTTTGTGTGGCTCAAAGCATCAAAAAATTATATTAGAAAAGTAAAATGACAACATTTATTCATAGTTTTACTCTACAAATTAAATACTGAAGCCTGCTCATGGCAAGGTCTGTGGATTATCCTGCTGTACAAGGTGCGATAAACATAGTTATTATTGTTTTTTGTTATTTGAGTTAAATACGGCTGTTTTATATGTAATTGTAACACATGTAAAACCAATAAACATGAGACAAGACAGTCCAATTGTTCATGTTGTTCTTTTATTATATATCAGGCTAAACTTATTATCAAGTTTTGGTTTGTATTACTATTTAAAAGATACGAAAGAAAAGGAAATAGATGCATTTTGGCCATAGACTGTATAATTCAGAATGGACAGGGTATCCCTGACATCATCCATAGTTCTCTGAAGAGCCGCTTGGCATTCCTGACTAATCCAAAAGTGGGCAAAGAGACTGAGCTGAAGTGCGCTGAATAAAGCCTGATTACTGAGAACAGCTGTCTGTGACCCTCCTGTCTCTCAAAGTGGGAACTCCCTCAATTACACATAACTTTAAACTGCTATAATTTAAACAGGTCAGTTATATAAAAATGAATCCCCCATACACATTACTAAACACATTATGAGCACTGACAGGTGAAGTGAATAACACAGATCCAACAGATGAGCTACTGTAGCTCAACTGCTGAAACAGTTAATCCTGGTTCTGATAGAAAGGGGTCAGAACACACAGTGCAGAGCAGTCTGTTGGTATCATTATTCGACATGGTTTCCCTCAGTACACAGACTACAGAAAACTGTCTGCCATTCTGTTTGTTATTGTCCCTGGCACCCTCAATCCTATTATTTACAGGGTTCAGTCCAAAAAGATACGAAAGTTCTTTCAAAATTTCAAATGAGTCAAACACATCCTTTAAAACCATGAACACTGAATGAATGCTCTCTTGCAACCAAACCTTCTGTTTTTGCTTTAAAGTTAGTTTTTGTGATTTTATGTACATTTCATATTATATTCAATGCATAACAATAAGTCTGTGTAAAACGAGTGATTTGGATGAATTTTAAGCAGTTTGTTCCCTGTAAGCATCAGGGATGAGTTTTCCTGATATTATTATTATTTTATTTTTTTGTGGTTGATACTGGGGCAAGATAAGCAAAGAAAAGAAGGGACAAACATGGAGCATGGGCAAAAACACAAGTCAATCTTGGTCGGTCATTCAATAGATTGCAGGATTTTTAAGGGTTCAAAAGTGATCCTGAATTTGATCTCTTCCTCTTAGACAGGTTTATGAAATAAACTACACTGCAATCAATATACAAATTTGCACTGGTGTATAGAACAACGAGTAAAGACCCTGAAGCTTTCTGTGATTATGAGCATGATGACCAACATGCACCAGGCAATCAACAGTTGTTTGTATAAAATATTTAAAAAATGCTATTAATTGCTGATTATGCACTAATAAATACAAACCCATAAATATTATATTCAATTTCTGCCAATAGATTGTCTTAAATGTTACATACTGGATCTTTGGAGTTAGCTAAGCTTTCATTTATATTGCAGTTATTAATCTTATAAATAGATACATTACCTCATCGCTATGCATCCTGCAAACAGCTGTGTGTTAGTATTAGTATTAAAAATAAAGAGCCAGATGGAGAGTCAGAAGGAAAGGAAAGGATTCTGTGATACCAACAGAGAAATCTAAAGCTCTACATACAGTAAATACAGATTATTAGAACACCTCAGTTAATGTTCTGTTGATGTGAACAGCTTTGTTGCTAAAAATTGAGTCCACTTTGTTCTTGTAAATACTGTATGTAGCTTGGTGTAGCATGGTCCATTTATATTTGTGATCTACATAAACATTGACTTAAAGAAAATCTATATACTTAGGTTTTTTTAATAAGAATGTGGTAACTGTTAGGGTTAGGGTTAGGGTTAGTAACCAACACTACTGCAAACTATTGACATCAAAACTGACTACAGAGTTGAGTCAATATCGCTGACACAACCATGTAAAAGGCCACTGAAGATTCATTTCTACATGTTGAGGTCCTAATTAGATTAAGTATAACCAAACAGATACAATTGATTTGAATAAACTAAATGTTTTATTTTTCGAAGTGAGCTAATGGGCCAATAAATGAAGGCCTCTTTGACTCACTTGGGAATCAGGCGATTGACTGTCCTTGAGCTGGAGGATATAGATGAGCTGTACCTTTAACAGGCGCTGATGTCACAGGGATGAGTGGCGCTTGTGTTAACCGTAACAGTGGGCAGACATGAGAATGTTAAAAAGTTTTTCTATGTTGTCCATTCTGTGAAAATGAATTACATGCCACTGTAAGATTTTAGATGAAGGCTGGTTGTCCGGGGACCTTGCAGGACCGTGGTAACAACGCAAGCGGCTGCAAGTTGAGAGACCAGAGGTGTCTGAGTTGGAGAAGCATGGCAACGGCTACGGGATGACCTCATCTTTGCTGATGAGGAAGGTGGGCTGCAAGACACGGAAGAATCATCAGAATAATTATAGTGGTCTTGTATGTTGAGGAGTGATGAACCAGGTGGGATACGGACCATGGAGGAGACAGTGTGGAGGCTTGCTGGACTCCCCCGTAGACAATGCAGTAAACATGGCCCTTCACTTCATCCTCCAGCATCTGGACTCCCCAGGAACCTATGCCAGTATCCTGTTTGTGGACTTCAGCTCTGCTTTCAACACCATCAGCCCAGCTCTGCCAATCGAAAGCTGTCTCTGACTCACGGATCATCAGCACAGGATCCCCCCAAGGCTGCGTTCTTTTTCCTATGCTCTTCTCCCTATATATGAACAGATGCACCTCCAGTCATCAGTCAAAAGGACTCTACGGTCACTCTGTGAAGTACTTCTGCTTCCTGTGTGCCATCATCACCCAGGACCTCAAAAAAAGCAGAGCAGAGGGTGTACTTCCTGTTGAAGAAGTTCAGGCTGCCGATGATGATGATGGTGAATGACACTGATCGGCTGCAATCTGCCATCTCTCTAGGATTTGTAGCACCCTGAGGCGTGCTGGTAAGATTGCCACTGACCCCTCCAACCCCCGATACAAACTCTTTGAGTCACTAACCTCTGGCAGGAGGCAGCAGAAACAGCAGGAACAGCTTTTTCCCATGTGCAGCTGGCCTCATCAACAAGTCCCCACTGACACTGACTCTTAAACACACCACACACCCTGAATCTATGTTTCATTAATGCTCTTTCATTGGATTTTATAAACATATAAATATCAATATCATTATATATCACAATGCTAACTAGCAGATTCCCCGGACAACTTTTTGCACATTCCTGTGCGGCTCTTCATTCATTTATTTAAGTATTGGGCCATATTGTACATATTGTCTCTCTTTTTATAAATGTATATGTTGTCTCTTTTTATTGTCTGTTCACATTCAATTTCTAGTGTTTGTCCCTTGTATTTAAGTGTATAAGTACTCATTATGATCACTTTCTAAATTACAACTCAGAGCCCTGTACTGCTTAGTAGTCAGCAGTATCAATAAGCAGTATATCAGAAAGGGGGGAATCAGGCCTGTTTTATAAAAAGATATATACCACTTAATAAAAAAATAATTAACCTTCAACTGAACTGCTATGCCTCCTGCTTAAATACTCACAGCATCTCCTTTAATGGAGAGACGTATCACCCTATTTCACCTACTCACAACATCAGAATTTGTTTTAGTGACCTTACCCAACCTATCTGCAAACTAACCACAGTGCCTGCAGGTTTCAACTGCGAACCATGCATGACTTGTGTGTATTATAAGCTGTATCAATAAAAAGGAAGTATTCTCGGACATGACGCTGTAAAGTCTGGCATTTTAATATGGGGGTTTACGGAGATTGATTCACTTTTGGGGCCAGACTCAAGTGGCTTTTTGAGGAACTGCAGTTTGGGAAACGTCTGCATTGGCTTCATTTTACAGCCAAAGAGGTTTTGGTGTTTGGTGTGCATCTATAGAGACCTGAAGGGTTGATGCCAGGACAGTGTGAGGTCCTTAACACATTTTTAAGATCATTTTGGGGGGCTTATTGCCTTTATTTCGACAGAACAGCTCAAGGTATGCAGGAAAAGAGGATAGAGAGAGGGGATGACACACAGCAAAGGTCCACAGGCTGGACATGAACCCATGGCTGCTGCGGCAAGGACTCAGCCCCGGCACATGGGGCATCACCTCTACCAGGTAAGATACCAGGGCGACCCTCAGCAAATGTTCTTAAGAGCAATAGTGTTACTTTTTGCTATAAAGTTTGTCCATGTAGGTTTTTCTGTGGAAATCAAACAACAAAACTTCTTGTCTCTGAGCCTGTAAACATAACTTGAATTCAGCTTGTTGTCATTTGCAAATGATGATCATAATGATTTCTTAACCTTGCATCACACATTATCTGAGGTAATGATAGTTGATTCCCCCATGATAACATTGTGTCTATAAAACCTTTCTACAGAGATCCTGGTATGTGCTGGTAGATATTATCAGCAGTGAGTGGGTAGGAAGCGAAGCTGACACAAGACACTTAAAGGTGGTATTACTGATCTGAAACAACTGTTCCTTCGGATAAGTTCCGATCATAGTCAAAATCTATGTAAGGAAATTTATGTTACTAATAGGACAAAATACAATCTCTGATATTGAGGTTACAAGGATATTACTTGTGACATTAACATAATATTGTTCTTTCAGGTTGATGGAAAACTACACTTACAACAGCTTCACACTCCAACTTGAGGGGATAGATGTCTCTGAGGAGTCTCTGTACCCTGTCTTTCTCTTCTTCCTCTTCTCCTACATGTTTATAATTGTTGCAAATGTGGGTATTGCTGTTCTGGTTTTCACTGACAAGAACCTTCACCAGCCTATGTATCTTCTTTTTTGCAACCTGCCCTTCAATGATATTCTTGGAAACTCTATCATGGTTCCTCGTTTGCTTTCAGATATTTTGCTGCCTCCCTCTGAGCGTCTCATCAGTTATTATGAATGTGTTGTTCAAGCATTTACCACACACATGTTTGGTACCACTGCTCACACAGTTCTCATGATTATGGCCTTTGACAGATATGTGGCCATTTGCAATCCCCTGCGCTATTCTTCCATAATGACCAACAAAATGGTGATCAAGTTGACAGTTTCTGCCTGGGGAGTGGCCTTCATTTTGGTCGGGATTCTACTCGGTCTGACCATACGGCTGAACCGATGCAGGACTATGATCACAAACCCTTTCTGTGACAATGCCTCCTTGTTTAAGCTCTCCTGTGAGAATGTGTTCATTAATAATGTCTATGGCCTCACTTTCACTGTAGTCCTGTTCACAGGTTCTATAGGCAGCATGGTTCTCACCTATACTAAGATTACAGTGGTCTGTCTGACCAGTAAGAACAAGTCTTTAAACAGTAAAGCCTTGAAGACCTGCAGCACTCACCTGGTTTTGTATCTGATCATGCTGATGAGTGGATTTACTGTCATTTTTCTGCATCGCTTCCCCCAGTACTCAGACTACAGGAAACTTTCTGCCATTCTGTTTCATATCATCCCTTGCAGCCTAAACCCCATTATTTATGGGGTGCAGTCAGCAGAAATCTGCAGATCATTGTCAAAATTATTCCGATACAAACCAGTATGGCCATTATTCTGAGTTGAACATTTTTAAGGTAGTGTGTAAACTTGAAGACAAAACATGCCAATTTCTGCCTGGGGAGTGGCAAGATTACAATAGTCTGTCTGACCGGTAACAACAAGTCTTTAATAGCAGTAGAATGTCTATCATTACTCTTCATCACTTCCCCCAGTACTCACACTTAAGAAAACTCTGTAGCATTTTATTTCATATCATCCCTGGCAGCCTCAACCCCATTATTTATAGCCTGCAGTTCAAGGAAATACGACATGTTTTGTCAAAATCAAAGAAGGTTTTGCTATCTTTATGAAGTAAATTTCTAAGGTTTTTTGTAATGTACTGTGAGCTAGGGTTCACAATACATGTGCACAACTGTTTTCTAGTTTGTCCCTTGTAATTAAGTGTATGAGCACTCATGATCACTTTGTAAAGCACAATTCAGACCCCTGTACTGCTTACTGTGTATCAGAAAGTGTGGAATTAAAATTCACTCGTTGAGCCGTGTTTAATAAAAAAGATATATACCACTTAATAAAAAATGATTAACCTTCAACTGAACTAATTTTATAAGCGGAGTGTGTACGAATAATATTAAAAGCAGTACCAGCCGCAATAAAAAGAAGTCTAACATACGCAACAGGACTTTCTAAGTGCTTGAAGACAAGGTGCAGTATCGTGGCATTGTCATAATTTTTGTTGCTATTTTCATAGATGGAAAATTGGTACCACCACCCTACGAAGTTCCCCTGGTATTATCCTCTCAGTGATTTCATAACTTTGGAAGTTAAAGCCACTGTCCTGCAATAATTATTTTCCTGACAACCAACCTTTTCGGGACCTGGATTTATGATGAAATTTTTCCATAGCTCTGGCACTGTGTGTATTATTGATGCGCCGATCGGCCCAGATATCATCTGTATCTGCCTGTGCCTATAAATCACCAACCCAAAGAAATTATTTGGTCTGATATAGAGTCCCAAACCTGCATGAAAATTTCATTCCACTACCGGTCGCTGTAACCTTTTACATTATGTAGAGCAGCAGGAGTTCTTAACGTGATTTCTCTAATGTGTGTTGTATTGATGTATGAGTGTTTTTTTTAATGATTTATTTAAGAGGATGCTATCAGTAATTTGAAACCTTTTCATGCATTCAGTAATATCACTGCAAATATTGAGGAACATTTAAGCAACAATACTTAAAACTTAGAAATTTGACATGCCAGAACTCAGAGGACACAGGGCTTTTATTAAGAGGACAGCTGTATTACTCCAAACAATTTCTCTGTATGACCCTGGACTGAGTGTGAGACCTTTTGGATGTGTCGAAGAACCCAGAACATTAACATTAGATCCTGACCGATTCTGTTGGTGTGTGGGGAGATTTTAGTAATCAATGAAGGTACACTGCTGTGCATCGTTCATAAATACTAACAGCGTCTTCTTTAATGGAGAGACGTATCACCCTATTTCACCTACTCACAACTCATGTGCTATACATCAGAATTAATTTTAGTGACCTGGCCAGCCCCATCTGCAAATTAACTGCAGTGCCTGCAGGTTTCAACTGTAAACCATGCATCACTTGTTTGTATCATAAACTGTATCAATAAAAAAGAAGTAATCTCTCTGACATGACGCTCTAAAGTCTGGCATTTTAATATGGGGGAATAACGGAGATTGACTCACTTTTGGGGCCAGCCTCAAGTGGCTTTTTAAGGAACTGCAGTTTGGGAAACGTCTGCATTGGCTTCATTTTACAGCCACAGAGGTTTTGGTGTTTGGTGTGCATCTATAGAGAGCTGAAGGGTTGATGCCAGGATAGTGTGAGGTCCTCAGCAAATGTTTAAGATTATTTTGGGGGGCTTATTGCCTTTATTTCAACAGAAAAGCTCAAGGTATACAGGAAAAGCGAAAATAGAGAGAGGGTATGACACACAGCAAAGGCTCACAGGTCGGACATGAACCCATGGCTGCTGCGGCAAGGACTCAGCCCCGGCACATGGGGCACCACCTCTACCAGGTAAGATACCAGGGCGACCCTCTGCAAAAGTTCTTAAGAGCAATAGCGTTGCTTTTTGCTGTAAAGTTTGTCCATGTAGGTTCTTCTGTGGACATCAAACATCAAAACTTATTTTTGTCTCTGAGCCTGTAAACATAACTTCGATTCAGCTTGTCGTCATTTGCAATTGATGATCATAACGATTTCTTAACCTTGCATCACACATTATCTGAGGTAATGATAGTTGATTCCCAGATGATAACATTGTGTCTATAAAACCTTTTTACAGAGATCCTGGTAGGTGCTGGTAGATATTATCAGCAGTGAGTGGGAAAGGAAGCGAAGCTGAAACGAGCCACTTAAGGAGGTATTACTGATCTGAAAGCAACTGTTCCTTGAATTTTCATGACTCATTCGATAATTTATTAATCAAAACCTATGTCAAGAAATTTATGTCACTAATAAGACTAGATACAATCTATGATATCAAGTTTACGAGGACATTACTTATGACATTAATATAATTTTGTTCTTTCAGGTTGATGGAAAACTTCAACTACACTTACAACAGCTTCACACTCCAACTTGAGGGGATAGATGTCTCTGAGGAGTCTCTGTACCCTGTCTTTCTCTTCTTCCTCTTCTCCTACCTGTTTATAATGGTTGCAAATGTGGGTATTGCTGTTCTGGTTTTCATTGACAAGAACCTCCACCAGCCTATGTATCTTCTTTTTTGCAACCTGCCCTTCAATGATATTCTTGGAAACTCTATCATGGTTCCTCGTTTGCTTTCAGATATTTTGCTGCCTCCATCTGAGCGCCTCATCAGTTATTATGAATGTGTTGTTCAAGCTTTTACCACACACATGTTTGGTACCACCAGTCACACAGTGCTCATGATTATGGCCTTTGACAGATATGTGGCCATTTGCAATCCCCTGCGCTATTCTTCCATAATGACCAACAAAATGGTGATCAAGTTGACAGTTTCTGCCTGGGGAGTGGCCTTCATTTTGGTCGGGATTCTACTCGGTCTGACCATACGGCTGAACCGATGCAGGACTATGATCACAAACCCTTTCTGTGACAATGCCTCCTTGTTTAAGCTCTCCTGTGAGAATGTGTTCATTAATAATGTCTATGGCCTCACTTTCACTGTAGTCCTGTTCACAGGTTCTATAGGCAGCATGGTTTTCACCTATACTAAGATTACAGTGGTCTGTTTGACCAGTAACAACAAGTCTTTAAACAGTAAAGCCTTGAAGACCTGCAGCACCCACCTGGTTGTGTATCTGATCATGGTGTTTAGTGGAATGTCTATCATTACTCTTCATCGTTTCCCCCAGTACTCAGACTTCAGAAAACTCTGCAACATTTTATTTCATATCATCCCTGGCAGCCTCAACCCCATTATTTATGGTGTGCAGTCCAAGGAGATACGAAATTTGTTGTCCAAGTCCAAGAAAGTTTTGCCATCATAATTAAGGGAATTTCCACGTTCTTTTTCTGAATTTTCAATAACTACACAGAATATGAAATAATCAAACTACCTTAGCCTCTTCCATAAGTGTATAAGCACTCATTATGATCACTTGCTATGTTACAGCTCAGTAATAAGTGTTAATCTTTGACATCTATTTTATATGGACAATACATATGTGAGGAACTTGTAATATCTAAATAAAAGGTTACTTTCTGCTGTCATAGTTACAGCAGTAGTTATCCTGGAAACACAGTTGGTAATTTTTAAATAATAACCATAAGTTGTGTTTAAATAAAAAGAAATAAAAAAATACACAAACAGATAAACAAATGGTTCATCTTTCATTTTTTTCAAAAAAAAAAATCACTGGATGTATTTTATCCCAAAATATAAGTGATATTTCAGCCCCTAAGTTGTGTGTTATAAAGCAGACATTTGGGATGGGGATGGTATATGTTTGTAACTGAAAACGCCTTCAGACAAGAAAAGGTGCACTGAAGATGGAGGTACTCAGAAAAAGTAAGGCCAGTCCAGTATACTGTGAAAAAAAAATTTGCTTGTTCAACTTAAAATAATTTGTAACCTGGCTGCCTTAGAATTTTAAGTTGGACAACAATTTAAGGCTTAAATTGTTGAGTTTGGCAAACTAAGTAACTTAAGTTGTTTAAACATATATCTGAGTTTCTTAAACTTAGAATAAATAGTTGGGGTGACAAAGGGGAAGCTGTCAAATTAGTCCCATCAGCTTTAGATTTTAAGTTTAATCAAGTTTTTTTTGTGATACCAACAAGATATTTCAAGTTGTACAAACCTAAATCCTAGTTTAGACAACATAAAATGACCAGTAAAACCAACAAACTTGGAACGATATCTTGAGTTGTACAAACTAAGCATGTTGTACAATTAACTTAGAATTTCTTTTTTGTGTAAACATAGTAATAAAACTTCTAAACTAAGCATTTGGCTGAATTAGCTTATTTTTTTAAGGCAGCCAGGTTACTTTTTCCAGGAATAGTTCATCTAAGTTGCAATATTAAGTTCATTAAAAAAAAATTGGACTGCATCTTTTTCCCACACAACTTAAATCTATAGTACGACATAAAAACTATTCTTCAACATAAAAGACCATTCAGAATGCCATTTTATTGAATTTCAAAACTGGGTGGCCTTTTTGGTATTACTACCATGAGGCAATGCAGAATTATGAATGTGTCACATATTTAACATGTTTAGCTGTTAACATTTACATAATAAAACTATAAAATCTTAATATTACCATTCAATATTATACCATGCAAGAATTTTCATAGTTTGAAGGTAGGTGTGAAACAAAAGTAAATTGCTTTGAAAAAAAATTGCTTGTGCAATTTAACTGCAATTCAAGTAGATCTTGAGTATGTCTTGATTGAACAAATACTACATACGTAATACAACAGACAATATTGCACATTTTACAACAAGTATACAGACCTTTTTCTTTTGTGTTGACTCTTCTTAACATGTGATGGAGCTGGCCAACTTGTCACTACACTTGCCCTTTAAGCAGTTTGTTTCGAATGCCATTAACTTTGGGCGAACAGTTGCCACTTCCGATGCCCATGAAAACTTTCTGTATGAGGTCGAAAGTGTATTTCAGTCCTTTGAGGTAGTCTATGTTGAGGCAATAAAGCAGACCCATCATTATTGCGAAGGCATTAGTAACATCTCTTAGATGGTGCAGAATGATGTGCTCCTCCAGGACAACAGCAACATCAACAGCCTCTTTTGCCAGCAACTCCTGCTTGCTTCCACTTTCCTCTGAAACAATGAGAAGCCCAATGTCCACTCCTTTTGTGACCTCCTCTTCTGAACTGCCAGGCTAAAGCACATAATAAAGATAAGTCAGAAAGAGAAAGAAGCATATACCATCAATTTACCAATTCACTATTTCAGTTTGGCAAATGTGTATAAATGTATACATTTATTTGTATAATGTATTTAGTCGAGATAATTTTAACAGGAAAAAAACATGGAGTCTCAGGTCTGTGATTTTTTATGTTGTAGATATAAAAGCCTCACTTTAAGACATTTTCAGGTGATTATACACTAATGAAAACATACTTATGAATATTATAATTAATTTCTGCCATATTCTGTAAATAGAGTCCCTTAAATGTTATAAGGAGTTTGGTCTAGACCTGCTCTATTTGAAAAGTGTCCTGAGATAACTTCTGTTATGAATTGGCGCTATACAAATAAAAATTGAATTGAATTGAATTGAATTAAATCTGACATACCTTTAACATTTGTAGATATCAATGTTTGTTGTTGTTTTTCACCATAATTAGAGTTTCCAATGCCAATGAAATTAATTCACACACCTCGCAGACACAGACAAAACTTGAAGGATCCTCCTTCAGGCAGTATCGAAGTCAAAGCAAAGCAACTGCTCTTCTCTTCTGATTTGAAGTCTCATAGCACAACAACAACAAAAGAAGAAAAATTGTAATCAAGCATGCCCATGTCAATTCTGAGAACACTGGGGTTGCTGCTGTGTCACTTAACAACAAATTAAACTTTGGTTTAGAACAGATTTACAATCTGGTACATGCAAAATGGGACATGGCTGCTCTGTCAAAATGACACTTTAAGATGTTTAACTGTTTACATGACATTGTAGCATTATAAAGCCTCATATGTCATAACACAATGTAGTAAAAATCTTTACTGTCCTTACTTGTATGTCAACGGGCTGAAGCAGAGTACGCAGGTCTGCACTGGTGCTACTTCGCTCTGTACATTTTGAGCAGGCTCGGGACATATTCGTCCAGTCCATCAAAGAAAGACCTGTGGAGTTCAGTCGAAACCAGTCGCATAAACTGTGCACTGATCTGTAAGGACAAAAACAATTATTAGTCTTATCAGTGGTTTCCTTACAACATAAAATACATTGAGAGCAAAGAGGTCAGCGTTGGTTCTCACAGGCCAAAAACTCTAGCAAATCCTGATTAGTTTAAAAAAATATTTAAAATAATATTTCACTTTCACACACTTTTCACTGACTTATGTAGCAGGATGTGGGATAAAATCAAAAAGACTTCATCTTTACACTACTGGACAACTGAATCAGCTTAATGATTAAGAATTGGACATACATTTTGTACTGTAAACTCATTCAACCATACCAGGCTGCAAAAAAATGATGTGCACTGTCTAGCTATAACATGGCTCATGACTTATTTAGCTACTTGCAAAAAATAATTTTCTGTTCTTAAAATCACACACTACGGGGGTGAGATGTTAAATGCTAATGGGAAAATGCTGAATGGAATCAATAAAAAAGTTAATAAAAAAAAAAATCACACACTACGGAAGCCCTAAGAGGTCATGCATTCATACATTTTATTTCCTCCGTTTTCTTGTGATTAGGAGTTCATTTCATTAGTTTTCTCGAGATAACGGGATAATTGTCCAGCGATCTTGGGATAATAAGACTTTGCTTTTCTGGCGTTATACTTTACTGCTTGGCTGCCAGACTTTGAAACACTGTAGCCTTTTATTTAAGTGTGTATTGCAACAAACTGTACATTTCTTTCTAACTTAAGTCCTACTGCTAACCTGCTCTGTTGCTTCACCATACACACACATTCACTCCGAACTCTCAGGTCTATTATATCAGATTTTTTAATATACAAGATCTTGAAGTAATTATCTTGTTATTTTAGGAAAACAAAGTCAAATTAACTTGTTATCATGAGAAAACGGAGGAAATAAAATGTATGAATGCATGACCGATTTGGATAATATGCTTTAAGGAAACAGACGTTGGAGAGAGAGACGGGTTTCCAACCGATGGCCCTGCTGTTCGGCTGTGTTCGGCTGTGTTCGGCCGTGTCCTGTCCTGCTGTGCTGTGTATTCTTCCTTGTGACTTCGCTACCGTGCCATTGCCCGCGTGTGTGTTTGGATTGACTGTCATCGCCATTGCCATTACCATCGTGAGACTCTCATCCCCCATTCCCATTCTACCCCTACTAACTAAACCCCTGGATTTGTGAGTACTAACAAACACATGCACGTGCTTTTATTTTGTGCTCAGCTCTGAGTGAAGCGGCCATTATAGTTTTCAGGCCCCACCGCACACAAGCTTCAATAAACAGGCCTGCAATGGGTTAAAATCTCATTTAAAGTGTGTTTCATATGAATGTGTGTGGGCCCACAGGTAACCTATTGACTTTTAAGTTGGTGTAAATTAAAGAATACTGTTTTGAAGGTAATTTAAAGATTCTGAGAAGGATTAAATATTATTTGTTTTAAATTATATAAAACAAAAGGTTTTCTTTTGAAAGGTAGTGTTTTGCTTGTAAAGTATTAAAAAGGTACTGAAGGTATTTTATTTCAAGAGTATCTAACAAAAAGCGTTTTTCTTTTTAAGTTAAAGAAAAGGTGTGAAACCAAAAAAAAACTGAACTTTATTTTGAAAATCTCTTTATGTACATTTGGGTAATTCTGTGCAATTTCATTTTATTATTTTATTTTATACTAAAAATACATTCAACGCATTTTATTTTGTGAATAAATACCTGTGAAGGGATTATTGCATTTAAAGAACAGTTGTGGTGGTCATTATTAAAATAGCAAGCTTTATTAAGGGTACACATTCTTAAAGTAACATAATAAAAAGTTTTATTTTTCCTACAACGAGCCCAGGCCCAGTCTCATTGTATTAACCACTCTAGCTTTATTTTTTAACTATATGGGACTTGGGTTACACAGGTTTAGTTTGAAAATCCAGTGTAACATTTATCTAATTTATCTATCTAACAATACTTAACCAAGCAATAAACAAGCATTTTGATAAATACAAGCAGGCTAAAAGTGTGTTCTTTTGTTTTGTTATTTTTTTGGCCTTTTCATGCCTTTATTAGATAGGGACAGCCAAAGATAGACAGGAAAGGTGGGTAGAGAGAGAGGGGATGACACGCAGCAAAGGGCCGCAGGTCGGATCCTCTGCAGGAACTCCCTAAAAGTGTGTTCTTACCTTGATCCTCCTCCTCCTGATCTGAAAAGGAGGTTTATTGTGGCACATGGAGGTGTATAGCCCTTGTTGGCTGTGTGAGGTTGCACACGCACTTTTGCAGGGGCCACACGTACATAAGTTGAGTCAACTAAGAAATGCATGTTGCCTGAACGACTCTGATTGAACTGATTAGTTGGGCGCAGAAAAACTTGATATTTCAAGTACCCCACACATTTTGGTTGAACTGACTTAAGGAAATGAGCTGAGGTAACTAAAACCTCATATCCTTTTTTACAGTGTAGAGCTGGAAAATCAAAAGATTGTGTCTTTAAA